GTATATTAAAAAATAAAAGATTAATTAATAAAATAAAATAGGTATAAATCTTTTAAGTACATCCATAAAATTAAAAAATTTTCACTAATAACGTATAATTGTAAACTTATAATATAATATATATAGTATAACATAAATTATATTATGATTTTTTTTTTTATAAATTAGGTTAAAGTAATAGTTTGTGCTAAATTCTTCTAAAGGGCAAAAGCTTGAAATTGGTAACACGACCAAAAACAAAAGGAAGAGGTGTTTTCGACATTTGGGTTTTGATACTTAATGGTTGGAGGAAAAGGAAGAGAACAAATAAGAAAAATAGGGAAATAAGAAGAGTGAATGACTTGGGCTACTTGTAGAGAAAATGAGCATTTATATCTGAGGTATGATGAAGTCGAGTATAGAAGAGACCTGACTTGAGGTGCTGGATTTTAGGTCGATATGACCCGATCCGACATAATATGGTCGTTTTGACTTTCATTATTTGAATGACATGTCAGATTGATCATGTGAACATAAGATAAATTGTTCGGTTGGTTAAATTGAGATATGCTTTAATAAATTTGGTCGATGGGTTTTTTTGTAAGGAAAAGATTATTAAAACAAAATCAATTTATATTAGTGTAAACTTCAAAAATTTTATATTTTTTAAATCATTAATTTTAATAAATTTAATAAATAAATAAATAATTTAATATCATCTCTTAAATTTATTAAAATTAATAATTAAAAAAATATAATTATTTTTTTTTGTTTGACGTGGTCAAAGTAAAAGAAAAAAGTTGAGTCGGCAAGGAAAAGTACGGTGAGAAAGAAAAGTAGAAAACAGAGGCGTTTAAAGTACGTGATGTTGAGGATCCAAAGAATAGAGGAGGAAAGGAAATGTCAAGGGACAAGCCGACCAGACCACGTGCTTCCACTCGCTGTTTTAACGCCACGTCTGCCGACAAGGTACGCGGCTCACCAAACAACCCCTAGCCTCTCCTTCACTTGCGTTTTTTTAGTTCGGGACGGCTTGGCACTTTTTTCTCACTAAACTCATTGACTACTTTCCCTGTGTTCTTCACGCGCGCGTTTATTTATTATTTACTAATTTTTTAGTGTTTTTCTTATTTTCAAAAAATTGATTATATTTATCATGATACCTACTAAAAAGGAATTACAAAATTTGAAAAAAAATAATTTTTGAACTATATACTTAACTATTAGATTAAAATAAAACTAAATATAGCTTCAAGTTGACTAATAAAAACTATATTTCATAAAAAATGAAAAAATAATATAAATAAAATAAAAATGAAATAAATTATTATTTTTTCTCCATTATGAAAATGGAGAGAAACTTAGAGTTATGATGTTGGCTAATAATAATATAATATTATACTAATGAAGCTTCACCTACTAAATTTATTTTTTTATAATACAATTAGGAAACTTTTCATATTTGTTTGGATTTAATTTTTTAAAAAAATTCAAATAATCTTAAAACCATTTTTTATTGATTTAATGTATTTAAAAAAATATTTTGTAATATTCTTTACAAATATTGAATGTGATTAATAGAAAACTAAAACTCTTTTCCTTAAAAATTATACTAATTTCTTAGTTCCTACCAACTTTAATAGCATAATTGAGTTTATTTTTTATTTTAGTATAAGTTTACAATTAAAAATTATGAAATAGTTATTTGCTTAATTTGTTTTAAAAATAATTTTTTCAAGGTAGTGACATCCAACAAGGTAAAGAAGCGCGTGGGATACAACATTCTGTAACTCAAAGTCATTCCCTACCTCCTTGAACATACATTAAAGAGGCATTAGTACGGACGGGTGAGTTTAAAAAGAGCCCACAAATGGGAAAGACAGAGGCTGAATATTCCCTCATTTTAACATTTCTTTTTTTTTTTTTTAATAATTTTTAGGAATTATGCTTCTTGTTTTTTTCTGGTTAGTTGGTCGCTTTGCTTTATTTGGTTTCGTTGGTCTCAATTGTGCTTTTCTTTTTCTTTTTTTTTTGTCATTATCATTTTTTAAAAAAAAATATAACATAAATAAATTTTTTAATCTCTCGAATTAAAATAAAATATATCATATTTGATAATTTAAGATATATAACTGTAAGTCTTACACTTAATAAATAACTACTAATAAAATTCGAATTTAAAATTTTTTGATTGAAATTATCAAAAATTAAAATCTTAACTTGTAAGCATAATTCATCAAACAAATCATCAAATAAATACCAAACGTAAATAAAAGGTTCATTCAAAACAAATTGAAAACTCACTTAAAAGATTTAACAAAAATTAGAAAATAATTAAATTAAATTTAAGATAATTTGTTTTTAGATGTACGAACTTCCAATAACCAATAGAAATATTTACATCATCGATTGAATTATCGAATTAATTTGATTCAATCAATTAATTAAGTTTTAACCAAATTATGCATGCCCATAAGTACATTTCCTTAAGTCAAGTTTGAGAAGTTAAATTTGATGCTTTGATTAGGAACTTTGAATATTATATGGAGCAATGGGTGAAACAGCTGGATTCTTTATGGTGCAACAGAAAGGTTTGAAACCAATGTCTTTTGTCAGGGAAGGAATCAACTAAAGCAAAAGCTTTTGAAGATGCAATATGTTTTGTTTGAGATTAAAAAAACAAAAGAACTTAAACTTTATTCAAAGTCATCAATAATAAACAGATACGACAAACTTATGGATCTGCTAAATGTTACAAACGGATTGAAATATGATTAAATATCAACGGGGAGTACTTGAAGTTGTGCAACATGCATGAAATGAAAAGATGTAACATTTGCCCCAGAATAAAGGGTCTAATCTTATGTTGTTGATTAATGATATTTAATCTATTTGGATGAGCGATGAAATTAATAAGTATTATAAAATTAAAATTAAAATTAATAATTAAAATATATATTTAGATATAAATACAATGATGATGTTAAATTCGGATATTATAATCGATTGTCCCAAAAATGATAGCAGAAGAACTGTAATATTGAAAATGGGAAAAGGTAAAGTTGAGAGGCAAGTAGAATCGTTTAGGCATACGATGCATATGGGGCTTTTAAGGGTAAAGGTGATGATAAGATTCACAGCATAGATCAATGGCTCCATATCTGATAAAACTTATCTTCAAAGTATTCCCCTTTTGGTATGTTGGAGTAATATCAACTGTAAAGTCATCACTTAAGATATGGAGACAGGAATTAAAATAGACCGCTCTCATACATATAAAAATAATATACTAACAATAAGATTGATTTATTTTTTACATTATCTAAGTCTCCAGTGTGAAGGTGGTGGCTGGTGGGGTCTTGACATTGAAAGCCAATTTAGTAAGCAAAGGTTCTATTTTGAGTATTGCTTGTCGTTGATGAGCATTATGGAAAAACAGACCCTCTGTTGGGGGGAAGCCATGAATACTGATCTTGAAATTCAAGTGCTTTATAACAAAAGTCAGAACAAATTTCAAAAGCTGAGTAGAGAGATGAATGTGTTTATGAGGATTAAAAAGATTAGTCAAAGCTGTAATCTAATAAGACCATCATTTACTTCAGAAACTGATATAATTTGGTGTCATATAGCTCTTATGGTGCTTGTAACCTATGATCATTGGCTTGAAATTAAGCACTGGTCGACATGACAGTGTTAAAGGATTCTAACTTGTAAGGATAATCGATTAATGAATGAAAATGCAATTAACAGGCTGAAGAACATTAGCAAATACTGAACTGACACTCCCCAAATCAGCGAATCACCCAAAACTGATCTGCAAAGGATATAAAAATCACTTGGGGGTTTCATTGGAGAATCATGAAGATTTTTTTTTTATTGGTACAAAGATACCGCAACCTAGAAATAAGCTAAAGAGTTATACCGGTTGAGATTTGAACAATTAAATTTTTTTAAAAGTAATTATATAAAAAAATCGAATTCAATTCTAAGTTCAGAAAATATGATAAAAAAAAGGAAATAAACCTTGATTTAATCTAGCTGATTTCCTATACTTTAGGTTAATCTCAGCAGTTGAGAATAAGCCAGCTTGAAATGTTATGGCAAATCTACAACCAGTCCTTAATTATATCCTAAAAACACAGCCAGCAAAACTGCTATTAATTTACAGCCATTCAAGCCTTGCACACAACTTATATCAATATAAGTTTCCTCAAAAAATATCAGCCAATCATTTCTATGACTAACACTAAAGCCCCATTAAGCACAGCAGATACTAGTAATTGGAACAATGCATCAACTGTAAATCCTGTTGCTTCAATATGCCTATGTAGGTTAACTTGTGTGAATTTTAGGGTTTCTCAGCAAAACTAGATTACTATTATCAGCTGGGAAATTCCATTGTTAAGAAACTCCAATTCAAAATGCCGTATTTAATATTAGTTCCGTGACTAAAGTTCAATGTCTGATAGCCTTAATTATATATATATATATATATATAGGTCTAATTCCCCATTAAAATCTAAAAACAACAATATCGAAATAAATAATCAACATCCGCTAAGAGTTTGATATTATATTATTCAAACTATTCATTACTCGAATAGCTTAAATTCAATTAAATAATAAGCAATTCAAAATTAAGCCTTTTTTAGCCGAATCCTAATAACTCATGAATAATTCGACTCATTTACATCTCAAAATCAAATAAAAAAAAAAAAGAGAAAATGATAAAAAAAATTCTGACAACCCCTCCTCCCCAAAAGAAAAAAACACTTGTTAATAATAATTCATTTGAGCAACAACACTCCAGGCCCAAAGTATATAATGGACGTAATTTCATTTAATAAATAAAATATAAAAAGAAAGGAAGGGAAAGAAGGGCCTAACGGACTTCATCAATTGGTCAGTCTTTCAAAATCCATTTTTAGGTCTCCTCATATCCAGACTTTTTTACTCCATTTTACACTTAATTCCACTCAAAAAAACCTACGTTCCTTTTCAAACAAGTCCATCTCTCAATTTCAAAGGAAACTCAAGGTATCAACGGAAGGGCTTCGATGCATTGATTTCCCCTTTTTTCTAGCTCCACCCCCACATGTAATGGAAATTTCACATCCACAAATGTTACCAAAACATGAAAACAATCCCTCATTGTCAGTATGTCTTCTAACATGTCTTGCTTTTTTGGCAATTGTTGAAGGAATCCCACTAGACAAGAAGCTAGAAATTTCACCACCTCGGTCATAAACTGGTGGGAGTTCGGTTCTCCACCTTTCTAGTTTCGACCGAAGCCCTTCGATGCTGTCATCCAAACTCCAACCTCCGTCCAATGAACTCTCTGTCTCATCCATTCTGTTAAGATGCATGTTTCTTGCCACGGCAGCCGCCACTTCCGATGGTGATGGACCTAATTCTGAATCGGTCCAAATTTTCGGCCCACCAAGTTTTTTGGGAGCCCCGTAATCCAACCTTAATGTCCCAACTGGTGACTTGCCAGGGGGTGTTTTCAACCCAATTTTTGGGCCATTGGTGCCCTTTTCATGACCCTTTTTTCCTGGATCCTCCCACCCGTTAATAATCGAACTTGGTTTTCCCTTTTTATTACTACTTTTGTCAAACGTGTAATTTACCATGGAACTTCCCCTGGAATTAACCCTGTAATTGTTTTTCCCAATTTCTGACCCGTTAACCATTGACCCACCACCATAAAGAACTGACCCACCATCGATAATGGACGACCCTATCATGGATCTTCTGGGCCTTACATCTGACTCGAAAACCGAACTTGAATCACTTTTGGTCCGTCGAAGCTCGGGTTTGATCAAGTCGTTAAGCAAAAGCTGATGGTTATTGTTATTGCTTTTGGTAGTGCTCGAAAGAGGATTGTTATTGGAGCTTTGAAACGGATCTTCCTCGCCCATTAAATGCCGATACCCAACTGCCGATGACCCCATTTGTAAGTACAATGGCATGCTCCTCATTGAACTATCAAGCAACGCCACTCCAATGTTTAAAATCCCTTGGGGTCGACCCGATGGTCTCCTAACCTGAAGCGCAATGAAACTCATCCCTAGTTGGACTCCATGGCGATGGTGCGGCCGAGAAATTGGCTGCGGGAAAAGGTTTCCGACGATGGCTCGGACGGTTCCCACGTGGATGTCACGGAACCAATGCACGGCGTAAATTTCGATCATGACAGCCGAGGTGTCACCGTGAAGAAACTCGTCATCGACACGGAAAACAAACTTGTCGTTCCATGTTGGGTTGCTGTGGCCTTGGGTGTCGATTCGGGTCGACAGCTTACGATCCGAATGGACCCAAGCCACCGCGTAGGTTCGCATTCTGCGACGACATACGGGCTTCAAATCTTGGGCTGAGATCACATTGAGTTCCAATAGCTGGAATGGTGCCAAAACATTCATAATTTTGGTAACAAGAAGAAGAAAAAACTGCTAACGCCGGTGTTTCTTCTTCTTTGTCGTCGCTAATGTTGTTCTTATTATCATTAGCGACGAAATGATGGTACTTCGTCGTCGAAGTCCTCTTCGACGACGAGGAGTTAAGAAAAATAAAGGGGAAATATTGAGAGGAAAATAAAGGAAGAAGAGAAAAAAGTGAGGGCATTTGGAAATGATATGTAATTTGTGGTAATAGAGATGAAACCGTTGTTTTCTAATGTTGGAAAAATAAAAGTGGGATTTGAGGGGGCAGTTTTTGACTCTGCCTAGGTGGTCAGGAACAACAACGACAAGTTTGTTTTATTTATTTATTTATTTATTTATAAGACCTTTAGTTAGGATTATTATAAATTATTATTATAAATTAAGGCATGGGAGTTTTGAACTGTCGAGCTTTTCTATTTTTGTCTAACCTCGTTGGCTTCCATTTTTAAAAAGGAAAATATGATCTTTTTTGTGTCCGCTTCTCTTGTTGAGAGCATAGAGCTGAGACTTTCGGAATTTGTTAAAATTTTGTAGACTAATTAGAAACTAAAATGAATCAAGTTATTCGTGATCTATTTAAATTTAACCCGAAAAAATTTCAAATTTAATTTGTTACTTTATTAATAACTGAAGTTAAATTCAAGTAATTTAATAAATGAGTTGAAATGTTCACGAATTTAATTGAATTTAATTAAATATTTATTTTTTAATAAATTTAATATATATATATATAAATTATAAAAATAATATTTAATATTAATATTTATAATTTTGTCAAATTAAGTCAAGTGACTTAATTGAATAACAGGTTGAACTCAAATAAAAAAAAATAAAACTAAATTAAATTCAAATCAATGTTTAAAACCTCAAATTTTCTAATTAAACAGACCATACCATCCAAATTTGTAAAATCAAAGCCCATATCATTGGTAAGTTCAAGAGTTAGCAAACACGCATAGGGATTTTAAGGGTCTTTCAAAGTATGGAATGGGTTAAATTGTGGCCCACTAAATTTAGAAAGCAAAGTCGCACTATGAATTGGCCCACTCAATGCTTCTTATTTTTTATTGATTCAAGAAAATTAGAAGTATCAATTTTATTAGAATTTGATTTTTCATTTGAAGGAAAATGAGAATGTGTATTATATTAATAGAATGGGATAAAGATGGATATAATTTTAAATTTTTTATTAAATATAAAAATAAAGATAGGTAATATAATATCTACTTGTTTTTATACTTATATTTTATATATTTTTTATTTATTTCATAAAATAGATTTTTAATTAAATAATATAAATTATTATTTTAGATTAATAAAAATTAATATATTTTTATTTAAAATATATATTAATATATATCTAAAAAAACATTACATAAATATCTAAGGTAAAAAAAAAAAAAAAACTACGAGTACAGAATTATTCATATTAATTAAATGCTCATGAGATAAAAATAAAAATAAAAATAAATTTGAAATATCTGTTAAGTATTGAATATAAAAATAAATATGATATAAAAATCTATAAATAGATGAAAAATGCGATACCCATCTCATACTTTATTTATTGGTATTCTTAATCTAAACTTAAAAAAAAAACTTCAAAATTACCAAAAAAAAAAGAAAATTATTAGAATGATGAATTTCCAATCCTAAATAAGATCAAATCTTCTTGATTTTGGTCAAATAAATCTAAATTTGAAAAAAAAAATAAAAGAAGAAAAAACCTTGTCAATGGTTTCAGAGACACCTTGCAGTTAATAACACACTGCACTTGCCATCTAATTGACCACCAGGCTCCAGCAAGCATTCCATGTTATATATAGTCCCAAGAACTTAACGTAACACTTTTCTATGACACATCTAACCTCCAAATCCGAACCATAATTTAGGATGGCTCAGCTTACCTACTGGAAAAACACACCAATCTCTCCATCTGATCATATCTTCCACTGATATTGCCTGTGGGGCTATATACAGTCAGCGTCCTTAAATTTATGTGGTTTTAATCTTTTCGTGAATGATCTTAAAATCGTATTTTTTATTTTTTTTATATTAATATGATACATTTAAAATTTTGTTCTTCAGATGAGATTATTAATATCTTTTAAGCAATTGGTAACGCAATTTTCCATGTACTTAATTTCTTTTTTTGTTCTAAGGTATGAAATCCCATACTTTTTTTTTTTCTTGACTTGGTTTGGTTTCCATTCTGTAGACTAGAAGTTAAACAATAGTTGACCTAATAAGGTTGGTAGTTGGTGCTTTTTTTTGGTTTCAGAACCATAAAGTAACTCAGAAAATAAATTGATTGGTAAACTTCATGTGATAATGTTTAAGTGATTTACTCAAAAAGGAATCACATGCATCTTGTTATATTCTTGACTTTGTTATCAATCCAAGTTTCTTACTTATTCCCATTCCCAGCCTCTACCAATTTGTAGTTTAACTAATGAAATATATGTTTTTGGTTTCCCCCTTGGGCCATTATTTCACAGAATCAAGGAATGAGATGCTCAAGTAGAAGTGAAGAAACTGAAGAAAAAGTAGAAAGTTTGATCTCAGCCAACTCAACTTAAGATTGCAGACATAAGCATGTGGGAGTTTCTTTTATTTTATTAATGTTGGAAGTCAAATTGAGTTTACTTTAGTTTAGTTTATTCATCTTCTGTTGTTCACCAGCTCATAGGCACAGAATTTTATAATCTCAGGTAGGAAAAAGAGATCAGTATTTGAGGCTCCTGGGAAAATGCTTCTCAGAAGCTCATCAGCCCCAGTTATTGGAAGCCTGCTCTTCCCTTTCTCTGATAGTCCAAACAAAGATCTTGATACTACTTACAGGTTACTTCATGGTAACCATGATGGAAAAGTCTACTTCCATGGTCAGGAAAACCTCAACTTGACACCATTTTCACATGCTTCTTCTCCATTGTCTCATTCAATTTCAGGGTTCCCTCAATGCAATCAAGAATCTGGTAGTTTTCGCCTTAAAGGTTTAAGAAGAGCTAAGTCTGAAGGAAGCTTAGAAAGATTAGATTATAGTTCTTGTGATATAGCTCAGTTTGTTGATTCCAGAACACCAAAGAAATCTTTCTACAGGGATCATATAACCATGTTGCATAGTGTACCATCTTTTTCGATATTTAATGAGGGACTTGAAGATGGACAACTAGGGGAGGAGGCATTGGAGAGAACAGTTACAATTGAAGAGAGCATTGATGCTGTGGGCAATGCAGATTTCAGCTTTGGGAAAAAGTCTATGGAATTGATTCAGGAAGAAGGAGAGGAGGAAGAAGAAATATCAAACAGAATTCAAAGTTCTAACAATCAAGAAGTTGAACTTGAACCACCTAGTCCTCCCATGTATCTTGCTACAGGTCTTGGAATTGATGGTGTTGGATTTGGTGCCATGGCTGATGCTGTTGATTTTGGTTCAATGGATCTTGATGAGGATGGTGATCCTGAAGAGTTTCATAAGAGGCTGGTTGATGAGTACCCCTGTCATCCTTTGTTCCTAAGGAATTATGCTAAATTCTTACAGGTGAGACCAATCAATTCTATATTTTTTTGTCTTGTTTTCCCCAATATGTTGAATTTGACCTTGCCATCATAGGCATTTAAGATTTGAGATGTTTCTGTTTGATGTATGCGAACCATTCAAAGTCATATAAATCAAATTGGCTGTTATCACAATCCAAACAACAATTGGCTGGGCCTAGCACTTTCTTTTGGTGTATTTTATATCCATCTCATAGTAGAAATCAAAGGAGGTGATCATTGGGTAAATATTGAAGGTTAACTAGATGATGTCCAACTGTGCACCTTTCGAGTCACTGCTGCTTCTAGTTCAGTCTGAATTTGGCATAGCTTAGCAGAAGACCCTAGGGGAAAGAAACCCATCCTTTGTCATCATCCCTGGGAATTGGGATATAGCATATTTTGCTGCTGGGGCTTAAAAGGCACTTCTGTCATTTCATATCGATCAGAGAGTTTGCTTCACGCTAGATTGGCGCATAGATCATGCGACATAGATTTTTTTTAGAAGAAAAGAAAACATGATCTTTCAGTTTTATGGAACATGATTAAATCTCTTCCAACAGTCCAAGGGAGATCTTCAAGGAGCAGAGGACTATTATCATCGAGCGACACTAGCAGATCCTGAAGATGGTGAAATTCTCTTGCAGTATGCCAAAATAGTATGGGATTGGCACAAAGACAAAGACAGAGCCCTTAGTTACTTTGAACGTGCAGTTCAAGCTTCTCCTCAAGATAGGTCAGTACTTATCTACACTTGGCCAAGCACTTTAACATAGTTTATCTAAGATTTCACTCGAACTAGTTACCATCCTTCTTCGAAATTTGTTGTCATGACTTGATAAGTGTTAGCTACTGCATTTTATTGAACAGGTCCAGAAACTAAAAGTCATAATTTTGGTTTCTTTTGCTTTTTTCCAGCAATGTCCTTGGAGCATATGCTAGTTTCCTCTGGGAAATAGGGGATGATGGAGAGGAACATGGCAAACCACGAGAATACCCGAAGGTGATATTTGACTCTTCACGACTTATAGAGCAGTTATTTCCATTTTCCTGTAAAGACTAAAATGTTGACATACTTTTGGCATGGCTGTAATGACTATTAATTTTTCTCAGGTTAAAGAGGAGAGCTCATTACCCGAAGAAGAACATGAGCTTGCCAGCCTATCTTTGCACCCTCCAAATCCAAAAGGCTTTGGGGTTCATACAGATATCCAGGATGTCGACATCGAGGATTATTATAGGAGGATTGTTCAGGAAAATCCTTGCAACCCTCTGGTTCTAAGCAATTATGCCCGATTCTTACATGAGGTGGAATTTGTTTATCCCAATCAACTTTTTTGCATAATTAGCTCATTTGCTTAACATCTGCACGACTGCATAGAAGAACATAATGCAACAGAGATTTGCATTCATCACCAAAAGTGGATGATTCTCATTTGACTGCCATTTTCACCCTTTTAAGTAAAACTGTCCTCTTGAATTGACAGTCTAAAGGAGATCGTGAAGGAGCAGAGGAATACTATTCACAAGCCATACAAGCTGACCCTGGAGATGGTGAAACGATATCACAATATGCCAAATTGGTGTGGGATCTTCACCATGACCATGATAAAGCCTCACATTACTTTGAGCGAGCAGTTGAAGCTACTCCTGGAAATAGGTAATTCAATTCAGTTACCTGAAACTGTCCGTGTAACAAACTCTACTTTTTTATGAACACAACTCGTATTCTAGTGTTCTGCAATTATCTTGGAGATCTAAAAGGATACAGGCTCTCAATAGAAAAGATAGTATGTTGTTAATGCTCTACCTGATAAATTCTTATCCTACTGTTTTGTATTTTACAGCCATGTTCTTGCAGCATATGCCAGCTTCCTGTGGGAAACAGAAGAAGATGATAACACAAAGCAAGACCAAACTCAGGTTTCTCTTCAGAATGGAGGTTTGTCTACATTATGATGCTTCATTCAAAAGCTGAAAATATTAGATACTAGATCACTTTTCCAAACTCCAATGTTTGTGTCAACTGACAGACAACGTAAATATAACAAATATTTATGTTTCTTTTTCTTTTCTTTTGCAAACTTTCACTATTTTAGCAACAGTTACTTTCTGTTAGTTATGGGTATTTTTTTAAGATGCAATGTAATAATCATCTGTAATAGCCTAATAGGACAAATTAGGCTAGTTTCTATTATTAATCAAAGAAATTCAGAATCAAAACTTAAACATACAATCATACTTAAAAAGTGGGTTCATACAATCGTATATCACACTTAAGAAGTGGTATACAATAAATATGAAATTTAAATTTTAACATCTGCAATTTTCTTTTTCTACATACTATGATTTTAAAAAATAAAATAAAAAATTGTTTTCAACAAGGAATTACTCTTCATTTAAACAATTGAGCTTTACAATATATCTTTAATGAAATCATTGATCAGATAAATACATAATAGTAACTTAACAGTGTAAACTGGACCAATTATTTTGGCCAAAAAAACAAAAAGATAAAGCTTTTGATCAAGCGGGAACATCATCTTAAAGGAAGAAATGGGGCTTGTTTTCTTTAGATTGAATAAATAGATCAAACTTTTGAGGCAGGCCTAAGTAAAAAGCAATGAGTTTTGTACTAAATATTGAAAGAATAAATTAAGTATGATGGAAGCCCTTTCCAAAAATAATGCAATTCCCTATTCCAAACACATCTAAGTAAACTATCAAATGAAAACACCTGATATATTGTTGTTGAATCCAACGAAAGGTAAATCTGCTGAATTGTGGTGACTGGAACCAAAAGTTTGATCCCTTTATAGAAGATTAAAGATCTGACTCTATGAACTTTGTCCAATTCTAGATACTTGGCCAGATGACCCTCTATCTTGGCGAGGAGTTGGCCTGTAGAAACCATTTCCTCTCAATCTATTGTAGTCTCGCTCACTTCCATCATAGGCACCGCCCCTGCCATAACTTCGAGCACCAAAACGGCCCCTTGGAGCTTCTGTTTGATAGCTGCCTCGGCCTCTACCCCTCCCTGTCCAGGACATTACCCACTTGATAAGAATAGAAAACAAATGTATCAATCAAATTGGCTAATGAATTTGAAGCAACCATAAGACCATGTTGGTTCTTGATTTTGCATTTGTCTTTAAGAAACAAATAATATCAATTATTTCTTTGATGATGCTGCAATTATCATTTTATTCTCAGGATGTAAAAGTTACTGGTATGAAGAAATTTCAGCCCTTAAAGCCTACAAAGTAACAAATCAAGGAAAGAAAAATGACAAAAGTATCACGATGCACCTATGCAGAGACACCTATATGTACTACTTTAAACCAAGCTACAATGAAATGATGCCATCAATAACTCAGTATAAGCACATGGAGGACCATTTTACAATGGACAATGATAAGCCTATGTGGGCATCTTATATGCCTATGTTGCATGCCACACCACACAGAAGCCCATGGGGTGAGACTCCTGCCCACCTGTTTGACAGCTGTAATGGGACTTTTAAGATGCCTATGTAGACAATATTTAGCTTCACAATAATAAGTATTCTAATAGGAAAGAGATACATTAATACAAAAATATAAAAAGGGGGAAAGAAATACATACTTCTTCCTCGAGATGGGATATAGCTGTTTGGTCTCCGCTCTTCGATGTACACTTGTCGTCCAGCAACCTGTGCAGTTCCTGCCTACATCCCCACACAGGATTTGACTAAATTAGTATATAATATCAATCAAAATGAACATCCTATATGAAAATAAATTAAAAAGTATATTAATATCATATAGTTAAACAACAGACCAAATAAGGAGGTGTCAGTATTGATTAAGTGAGCTTGGTGGACGGAAGGATGAAAAATGGGTTGAAAGTAAGGATTGGCGACACAACTAAAAGTTGACTATCAATTCTCATAGGGGAAAATGTTAATGGCTTGTCTTCATCTCTATAAGGAACTAGTATGCAGAGAGGAAAAATCAGGAGTGACAAACAGAAACATAGAAAATTTTACTAAATGCTGAAATTCCACTCAAGGTGCACAGGATGCACAAATCAATTTGGATTTTCAAATCTTACAATTAAGCTGAAGAGTCTTCCTGTTCTTTTTCCCAAAAATTCATTTCTAAAAACAATGCTCAGGATTGCAGAACACTTTACAACAACTAAAACAAGGGAAAAGTTTTTTGCTAGGTTCTTGAAGTAAATTCAGACCTTGACAGCATTATGGACACTTGTCATATCTTCAAATTCAACAAATGCATAACAAACGCCAACATCCTGCATAGAAATGAAATATTTTAGCATTAAAAAGCTAGATAAAACAATAGGACTGCAGGAAAAGCTACAAACTGAACCTTGCGACTACGAATCACCACTCCATCAGGACTGATTTCACCAAATTTTTTGAATTCCTCCTCAATTTCAGACTCAGACACAGTAGAGGGCAAGTTCCTTACATAAACAGATTTTATTTCACCTACAACACACAGGCAGTAAATTAACTACACATATTTAGCTTTGCAAATACAGCCAGCATGTGCCTTTCTAAAGTTTCAAACCAAATGAATGTTTTGAGATATTGCAACAACAGAATCTTGTAGAATTTCTACAGAATTGACATTTCTTACGTGTCACTATCCCATATAGTAAAATAGTTAAACATAATAGGAACACTTGAATTTCTACCTTCATCTTCTATCGCTGAAACTTCATCAACCATATCAGCCCCAGACATTTCAACTGCATTTGAGACAAAAGATTGCTGAGCAGAGTGCTGGGGAGCATGGTCCCAGTCGGAAACAGGTGGTATGTTCTTGTTAACAGAAACCTGAGGAGCAACTGAAGGTGCAGATTGTCCTTTAGCAACCCGTAACTCCAACAATCATGCATAGAAAACAAAAGAAATTAAATCAGCATTGTAAAGAGAAGTCAAATTTCTAATTCAATAAACATACATCAAAATCCATGAGCATATATACATAAGAATGACATAAAAATAACTGCCACATGTAGAGCATACAATAGAGGCATAGGTGTGCTTTTGGGGTTCTCCAACAGGCTCCTCAACAGAAGAAGGCACATGCTCTAGGACAGTATTCACCATATGGAGAAGTGAACCATTGGACTCTTGAACAGAACTGTTCTCCACAAAAATTTCAGACTCTGGAGCTTGCTTTAATTGTTGCTCTGGGAAACTATACTTGTCAACCGGACCATTTTCTTTGACATCAACAGGAGCCACAAACTCCCGTCTCTGGATATCTCCGCCCAGCAAATAGCTTGGTACTACAAAGAGAATTAATGTTATCAGCCAAAAAATCAAGAATATCCTAATCTTCATGCTACTATTTTTCAGGAGAATTTATTATCAAGAGCAAGCATACACATAATTTTGGAATCACCTTATAATCAGACATTAAAAGAATCTGAAATAAATAACCTATGATTCCAGAAAAGAATGTGTGGAATTAGATCCTGAAGCCATTGTAAAAAACGCTTTCTCTAAGATGGTAAATTCTTTTAAAGAAACGCAAGCTATAGAGTCACACTAATTCCTCAAAATTGTATTTTTTTATTCATTGGATTTCAGAACAAAACCTTTTATCAGGTCAATTGATAAGGAGAATCATAAATGTCAAAACTCAAATTAGATGGGAAATACCTGGTTCAGGAATTGTTGCTGAAACGTTGAGTTTAGGATCAAGATTGTGCTGGGCTAATAGGATTGTTGGATGGTGGTAAATTTGTTCCTCATCAATAAAGTGAAAGATGTCATTTAGAACAAAATAGCCTTTCTCTTGCGGTGCAAGGAAAAACGTTTGCACAAATTTCCTTCTGGAACTGAAATCCTTTACTTGCACAGAACCAGAAACCATCACTAGAACACCTCCATTCCAAGATTCAAGGGAATATGCAGACTTGATCTCAACCCCGGTGAAGTTGAGCGACATAATGAGAGCATGGATTTGCTTCCAAATAAAAATACAACAAAAGGGAAAGAATAAGCCAATAGCTCCTTTCGATGAACAAACAAACAATAAAAATCAGTATGAAAATGGGCATTATTTATGGACTATGAAAGCAAACTTAAGAAAGCATAAGAGAAAAAGAAAATCAATTTTAAATAGCTAAGTGCAAATATTACCAAGAGACCTCAGATATTGATGACAAATAAAACAAGAAAGAAAGCATTATCCCATATTACTGCTTTCATAAACGCGTACAATTATGAACCGAATTGCTAACCTTTGATTGAAATGTTATTATTGACATAATGAGAGTTATGGATGAGGACACCAAATACATTCAATGTACTAAAATGTTGTGAATATTGAAGTAATCATCTAATTAGATATATGACACCAACTCCATGAACTGCTGCAACAAAAAAAGCAGATAACTTTGTTTAGTTGAAGATAACAATTGAGTAAAAAGGATAAAGTAAAACTACCAGCATTGCAGCGGCAGTTTCTCTGTTACTGCCATCCACACGAACCATGGTACTGGAATCACTATAAAACTGGTGCACTAAGTCTGGCTGGTGTTGAAGTAACTGATAGTACTGCCCCACAAAATATGTTCCCACCTAAAAAAAAACAAACCCATAAAGAATAACAAAAACCCAGACTTTATTTGCTCTTCATTTCCAATATACACTTTAAAAAACCAATAAAAATCACAGCTTTTTAAAGGAACAATCAATAAAAGAAAGAGTTTTTTAAGTACCTGAGCAGCAGTAACTCGAATGGGATAAGGAGTTGCCATTTCTGAAACTCCCTAAAACCCCAAAATATCAAAAACCTTTTTTTAGATAGATCCCAACACTGTATCCTCTCCCTCAAGATCTGCACCACCAAAAAAAAAAAAAAAACATTTTAATCCACTGAAATAAACCAAACAAATAATACCCACAAAAAAAAAAAAGAAGAAATCTGAGATGGGTATTTAGAGAAAGAGAAGAAAGTGTTACCTATAGAAAGATAATAGATTTGAGGGAAGATTTTCTCCACCGGTTTTTCTTTTTATGTGTGTGCTTTGTTGTATTTTGGCTCTGTTGTCTGCTGTGTTTTGGGTTCTTTTTTTTTTCCTTTAATTTTTGTCTTCTTTTCCAAATGTTGGTAGCCGTCACTGCGAACGGTGGAAAGCGTGTGGGCACTTCAAAAACGAAAAGAATAAAAAAAAAAAAAAAAAAAAAAGAAACCTTTTACTGCTAACTTGCGCCAGTTGTTGTCTTTTCCACTTCCAAACTTTTTGTAATTTTTCTTTTGTTGTATAAAAAAAATAAAAGAATTATTCCAAAAAAATATTAAGGTGAGAGGGTTTCAGTGCAACACCAAGCAATTACATGTTTCAAAAAGACATTAAATTTATAGATCCATCACTGAAAAATATTACTAGTTGTACATGTCACAAACAATGATTTAATATATTTTTTTATTAATCAAATGATTTTGTATTTAGATATGTCACTAACAATAATCTAATATAATTTTTATGGAATACAGGTATCGAAAATTAAATTTTGGTTGAATGTGAAAGATATTAGTATAATTTAAAATTGAATTTTGAATTTATTTTTTTATTAAATAATAATAGTTAACTGCTGATAAATTATAAGTGATTTGATACTATAGTTTTGCTAAATTTCAAAAACATAATTATTGTCTCCATGAAAAATGTTAGCAATTGTTACTGATTCTCCCAGCAAACTTGTAATAGAAAATTCATGTTGGCTTCGGCATATTACCCTTTTTTTTTTATGATTTTTGGCATATTACTTTTGGGAGAACATCATCAGAAGCTTATAATCTTTAGGCCAAAAAAAGAGGCTTTTAATCATGTTACATAGTATTCATGCCTGCCCCTTGCACAGCAACCTTGAGACAGTTTCTCACCCTTTACTGCCTATAGTTGTTATGTGTTTTGCTATCTCTTGATTTTGTTATAATGGGGGAACCTAATCATCTAAGGGTATCTAGATGGACCTTACCATTCCCTTCCCCAAAAAAAGAGTTGAACAAAAATTTGAGACAAGCTGTTGGCTAGAATCATGGCATTTGGCTGTGCCCCAATGGCCAATGCCTTCGTTGTAAAACTGTTCTTCTTGGCCTAAGAAAGGGAACCTAAAGCAAAAACTAGTACTAATTTTGTTTATGGACTTATTTGGTTGAGGCATGCAATCCGTATAAATTTACCTGAGCTTGACTGAAATAGGATGGGTGCTGCCAGCTAAAGTGGAGCATGGAAGCATAAAAAGTGCAGCCCCCATTCTTACTTATGGGGTTATTGGGTCATTGGAAACAAAAATGGATAGTTTACATATATCAATACAAGTTTCATCTACGGATCGTTACTGCTTTTCAAGAGATTTTCTTTGTTTTTTTTCTTTTTTGAAAAGGAGAGATTCGAATCTAGTTCTTCGAGTATCTCATGCTTTGAGTGAAACTAGTGTTCCTAGGCTTCAAATTTTATGATCTTTTCTGAATAAGGGGAATGGTTAGTTCAATTTATCAAGAACAGTAACTCTTACTATTAAATATTTCTAATCAAATGCAATGATACCATTTTTCATGCTCTTTCCATCAGGGTATTAAGATTTTGAGCTCCACAATATTTGCTTGAAGATGATGTTCAAGACTGCCTGTTCTTGCTTGCTTATAAGTTACAACAGCACTTTTTAGTTGTCAACTATGAACCAAAAAGAACAATACATGTCTTAGTGCAAACAATAATCATAAGCAACTATCAATATTAGCAAAGCTGACAATGAAACTTGTTAAGAGTTCCATTTAAAAGATGCTGCTAAAGGTGAAAATGAGATATAGATCACAAGGAGAAATGAAAAGGAATTTCAGGTAACTCAGGGTAACTGATTATTTATCTAAATGACTCCCATCTTCCATCTCCTCTAAGAGATTGGCAGTTGCTGCAAATGCTTCTCAAATTCACATTTTCAGTTGCGATCTTATGATCGTCTTCCTTGAGCTAGGCTCACCCGCAATGCCCTTCCTTCAAGTTCCTGAGAATCAAGAAAAGGATGAGTTATTTATAGACATTGCTAAATGGATTCTTGATGCAATTAAGAATTAGTGCATAGAAAGATCAAAAGTAAGAATTGATACCACTCCATTGAGAGATTGAAGAGCAGCTTCCATCTCTGACTTTGTTGAGTAGCAGACAAAACCATAACCTCGCGACCTTCCTGTCTCCCCATCATACAAAACCCTTGCTCCAACTACATTTCCATATTCTTGGAAAGCTTGTGTCAAACTTTCAGATGTGACAGACCATGATAGATTCCCAATAAAAAGCTTGTATTCAGTTTCTGGATATAAAGGTTCTCTAGGTCTAGGTTTGTCCGAAAAGTTCACCCTCAAAGTTCGACCAAGATATTCCTGAAACAGGCAAATCCATTTAGGATTGAAACTTGAAGAAATTGGATCCACACATTCACATTCCTAAAGTATCAGGCAATTCCAACATAAGTCTCCTCTTGTGTGCTCAAGTATGCACATGCATATATACAACGAGAAAAACGTGGATGAAAGAGAGAGATTCTTACACGTCCATCCAGATTTTCAATAACTGCATTACAATCTTCAACTGTGCTCATTGTCACAAATGCAAAACCCTTGCTTTTCCCAGTTTCTCTATTGTAAAGCACCTAAAACGTTCAGAGAATCTATTAGAAAACAGAGAAATGAGATATTACAAAGAATGTCATATATGATAGTGTAATGAAGATAATTTTATGACAAAGCTTTTTCCTGTATCACTTAGGAGATTATCAGGAAATAAAACATTGCAAATGCAACTAGATCAGAAAAATAAAAAATTTCAAAGAAAAAGATTTGCTTATTCTAGAAGTCTGGGTCCTTTGTCTTAATTCAACAGAATATACATCTACAAGAAATCTGGATGAAGCTATATCAGTAAAGAGGAAACCAAAATAAACCCTGCAGCGCTTAATCAATAATATCGGTATTTCTCTCCTATGTACCCCCCCCCCCAAAAAAAAAAAAAAACCATATTTGACGAACCTGGAATTTGGTTTTGGGTTTTACATAGCATGTTTATATCTAACTGCACAGATGAACCAGGAAACTTATTTTCCCTATTTATTCCTTTCTATTGAAAGTCAAAGTTATTGCTGTGATTAATTTAAAAAAATAAAGCCAATGGAAAGATGTAGATGTTCAAGACTCAAGCTCAAATAATTGAAGTTGAATGAAGTCTGAGCTTATTATCCAATGCTCAAGCAGCATCAAATATATATCATGTTTGACGACTGTTCATTCGAACTTATTCAAAAATTTACTTTTACTATATGATCCTCGCATCTCTAAAAACTCTCCTAGTAATCAAGAAGTCTAGATTCGATCAGTCAAATTAATCACAGATCACACACCTCAACAAGCTCTGGACTGCCATATTCTTGTATTATCCCAGCAAGTTGGGCACTGTCAACATTGAAAGGCAAGTTCCCAACGTATAGCTTAGTATTCACAGGAGACTCGGTTTCAGCTTCAGTTTCAGCCTGATCTTCAGCTTCAGTCTCAGCCTGATCTTCAGCTTCTCCTTCATTCTCCTCTTCCTCCACCAAACTTTCTTCCACTTGGGTAGTTGCCTCCGTCTCTTGTTGGGCAACAGCAGCAGATACATTAAGCATACGCCACTTTTGCACTGTGCTGCTCGCGGGAAAAAGCTCATGAGTGAAGTAAGAGTGAGATATAGATGATATCATGCGAACAGATGGGATTTTGAGGACAGAATGACCAGCTGTCAGTTGCTTAAAACGCACGCATTTAAGGGTTTGGATGGATTGAGAGAAAGATGAGCCTACTGCTGCTGCGGCTGTTGCAGCCATGGTTATATACTAGATGTTACTGTAGCAGTGGCAGCAATTGAGTCAATCTTGGTTGTGGTGTTGTTGGGGGTTTTTCTGTTAAGAGGGATATGGAGGTGGGAGCTGAAAAGGTGTTTCAGTGTGGAACCGGTGGGATTGCAAAGTTATCCAAGCTGATGTGGGCAGATTCTGTCCAATAAGATTAGGATAAGGTGAGTTCACTTCGCTTCATCGTGGATCAATTTTGTAGACCGTTTAAAGTGGGCTTTTCCCTGATGGGTCCAAATCTTGTTTTTTTCTGTATTTTGTTCCCTGAACTTTCATGGGATTAAGGGTGATATATATATATATATATATATATATATATTGCCCACTTAGCCAAATAATTTTCATGTCTCACAAAAATTATAGTACTAATTAGATCCCTTATTATATATACCAATTCGGTGATTTTAATAAGAGAAAGAAGGTGATTTAATTTAATCGATTTATATGATTTAATGTTCAATAAATTTGATATTTAAATTTTAATAAATAAAACTTTTTTTATTCTCAAATTATGAATTCTTTAAAAAAAAATTAACATTGTCCTGGTAGCAATTAGTAAAGATGTAAAATTATAGACCATTGGCTATTCTTAGTTGCTCCACCCAAGCAAATATCTTTATTACCATAGGAGTTTAATAGTGGCATTCAAAACTATAGTACTAATAAAACAACTGAAATGGTGTAAGTTGTAAACTTCAGCAAAACAAATAGCAAGAATCTGAAAAGGGTTATACTACGATAAACGCTCCACCGACAACCTCAGTTCTGCTTATAATCTTGGATGACATTTCAATAAAGACATTATATAAATAAAAAAAATTATTTAAATTTTAATAATAATTATATATTATTTAATAAAATAAAAAATATATTTTATGTTTTTATATTCATATAAATTGTAATATACAATTGATGTGAATATATAAATTTTAATATTTTATATGATACAAATATTCGAATTATGATACTTATATACCAGCCTGTGATTTTGTCCCCAAATATCTGCTATTTACTGTCTTGGCCAAGAGTGGTTTTTTCCTACAAATTTCATGACCCTACATTACCAAGTAATTTGTACACTTGATCTTGTCCCAAAGGCCAAAAAAGTGGTGCTTTATCAGGTAATTTCAAAACTAAATACTTCACTGTTTTTTTTTTTTTTCTTTTCTGTGGAAATTTTGTGAAGTTGAAATATTAGATTGTTTTTGTTTCAATTCAATTATTGAAATCCATCAGTTCATGCTTACTTCATTTTACCAAAAATGAAGTTCAATCTTTATTTGGATGTGGTATACAATTTGATGTTGTAAAAACTCTATTCAATCATTAAATTTGTCGTTTACATATTTCACTTTCAGAATGCTTTACTGGGAAAACAGAAATTGAATCTGAGGATGGAAATGGGCAAATGACTTGCTCTATTAAGTATTGACTTACACCATGGTTACTCTGCTACAAACAACTGTAATTCTACACGTTGAAAATCACAGTATAGACAAATTTGCAGTGATCTGAAAAGGGTATAAATCTATATTCCACAATCTGGTGCAGAAGTTTTCTAGTACATGAGTCAGACCTTGAAATGTGAGGCTTCAAAGTTGAACAACTCCTCTGCTTAATTTTGTTTGAAACAACTAGCCAAATCGAGACTTTTTGCTGTCATACAAAAAAGAAAAGAAAAAATTGGTCTGAATTCTGAAAACAGTTAGAACTTTGTTCAAAAGAAAGAACAAGTGTTCATCTGTTAAGCAGAGTGATTGTACAAACTTCAGTGGTGGAAACATGTAAAGTTAACTTGTACTTAAATATAATATGTTGAAATTGTGTAGAGACAAACACTTACAGAGTTACTGATTTTCCACATTTGGTTGAAAACTCGAAAGTGTATACATGGACCTCCATCGCCGATCAAAAACCAAAGGACCAAACACACTCCAAAAGCCAATCACAAATCCAAATGCCATGCCTAAATAGAACCAATCTGTTTCAAATCTGAAGCCATTTTCGCCACCTCCATTTCCAGCATTGTGAATTGTACCATTGTCAGAACACTTCTCCGGAAGTGGCAATCCACAGAGTTGGTTGCCAACATAACTTGACTGATCGAAGCTTTGTAACTGAGTGCTGGAAGGAATTTGTCCGGTCAAATTGTTGTAAGACAAGTTCATGTGGCTCAAAAATGTTAAATTTGACATGCTTTTAGGAATTGAACCAGACAACTTGTTCACAGAGAAATCAACAGATTCTAGAGATCTCATCTCACCAATTCTTTTTGGTATTGTTCCAGTCAAAAGATTATGTGACAAATTCAATGACTGCAATTCGAATAAACTTGTCACTGCCTTGGGGATCTCTCCTGACAAATTGTTGTTAGAAAAATCAATGCTTCTGACCAGGACAAGATTTGTGCTATATCTAAGCATTTGGCCTTTCACAACCAGTATTACAAACAAATCTCCTGCATAACTTATAAAAGAAGAATTGATTTCCATAAAACTATTCCTTTTAACCATGGCAGTAAAGTTACCTAAACATCCTGGTAAGCTCCCAACCAGATTGTTATTAGCAAGGTCCAAAACTTGAAGAGAACTAACAGCACATATTTGATCTGGTATGTGCCCTGAAAACTTGTTTGAACGAAGGCTCAAGACTGTTAGCTCTCGAAAGCTATGGCCTATCCATTCAGGGATGTGGCCATATAACTCATTCTGACCAAAATCAAGTAGCAATAAACCAGTGCAATTTCGTAGTGACGATGGAATTTCTCCAGAGAGGTGGTTTTTCTGCAACTGCAATGATAGAAGAGAATATAAAGTTCCCAAAGAGCTTGGAATTCTTCCAGTGAAGTTGTTGCTATCTAATCTTATCACCATCAAATTTTGCCACTTCATCCAACAAGCTGGTATCTCCCCAGACAAACGATTTTCACCAAGATTAAGAGTTTCCATTCCCATGGTTTGATTCAAATTAAAACATAAAAGATCAAAAAGGTATCCTGACAGAAAATTACTGGAGAGGTCTAGAAATGACAGATTGGAAGAGATTTGAGGTAATGGACCAGTAAAATTATTGAAACTAAGGTCAATGACAGAATCACCAAATGCAATCCAAGGTATACTAGGAATCTGCCCATGGATTTGGTTGTTAGAGAGATTGACATAATGGAAGTGGGAGAATGAATTCCGAAACCAACTGGGAATGCTATCAGAAATCACGCAGTTAGAGATATCTAAATATCTTAAATGTTTTTGTGAACGAAGCCACAAAGGAAACTTGGAACCTACATCCAAAGACCTTAATACTAAGTGTTCTAGTTCAAAAGGAGGAATCCAATCAGGATTGGTTTTTAAAGTTAAAGGATTGTCAGAAACATCAAATTCTTTCAATTTTGCAAGATTGCCAAGGTGCATTTCTGAAACAAAACCTGCTAACAAATTTTTAGAAATATTAAATATTTCCAAATTTGCAAGTTGCCCAAAGGACTCGGGAAGTTGTCCTGTCAATTTGTTCTGATCAAGTTCTAAAACACTCAAGGACGAAAGTTCTCCTATGGACAATGGAATGGGACCGGAAATTGAGTTACCAGACAAATAAAGTTCCTCCAAAATTTTGAAGTTCCCAAGTTGATTGGTTAACTCACCAAACAGTTGACTTCTACTTAAATCCAGTAAATCAAGTTGTTTAGAAACACATCCTGACAAAATTTCTAAGATGTCAGATATATCTTGACTCAAGTTTACACCCGAATAAAGGATATACTTTAATTTACAAAGATTCCCCATTGATCTTGGAATCCTTCCTTCAAGTTCATTCCCTGAAAAGTCAAGGCTAATGGCAGAAGTCATGTTTCCTATAGCACTTGAAATTTCACCATGCAACTTGTTGGAGCCAAGGTTTAGAAACCGAAGAGAATTAAGATTATAAAACCAGTCAGGTATTGAAGAATTAAAAGAGTTAAATGAAAGATCAAGATGCCTAAGAGAAGTCATGTTTTCAAGGCCATCATATATACATCCTTGCAAATCATTAACACTCAAATCAAGGGAAATTAAGTTGGTAAGATGAAATATCCAGCTAAGGACTGAAGGATTCTCAAAAGAATTTGAAGAAAGGTCAAGAATTGCAAGAGAGGATAGATTCAGATTTGTGGGTGAAGGGACAGGAGGAAGTTGACAACTTGACAAAACTAGTTTTTCCAAGGAAGGAAGTGTGTTTAGCACTTGTAACCAATTGGAAGCCTTTCTAAGGTTCACGTTATCCAAATTAAGGTGTTCTAACAAGGAAAGACCAGACAACCATTGGAGATTGGCAACAGACAGATCATCTTCAATATCGGCATGAAGATTAAGATACTGTAAACTTGAGAGATTTCCAAGTTGATAAGGAACTAATCCTCCAAACCCAGCTCTAGAGAGGCTAAGGTATCTTAAACTCTCAATAGAACCCAAGAATTTGGGAATTGGAATACCTCCAAATGCATTGTTGCTTAAGTCCAAATAACTCAAATGCTTCAACATGAGCAAAGAAGGGTTCATCTTACCTCCAAACTTTGACCTCTCACTTCCTTCAAATTCAGCAGCACTGCCATAATCATCAAAGATATGGTCGAGGGTTTCTAAGATGGAGCTCAAGTACATGGCCAGTCGCATTGTCACAAACAACTCCATCCCATCCACAGCAATCTTCATCAAGAGACCAGGAGCCCAAACGGTTTGCATTATCTAGTAAGTCTTGTTTGAACATGAAAAGGGCTTGTTTTTCACTCTCAATGCAACCCTCATTAACGAAATTTCCATTGCAGAAGTCAATGTTAGAAGTTGCAAGACTCAGAAGCACAAGTACTAAAATAACAGACATTGATCTTCCAATTGTCAGAATATTTATGATGAATTGAAACTACGAAAGGCAATGTTGTTAGATAGCTATTTATATTATCATGTCTTGACAGTAATGTTTTCATTTCTCCTAACCATTAAACACGGTAGCAACTAATAGTAAAGCTTGCCAGCTTATAGAGAATGTGACCGATCCATTTTAAACTACTCGTTTAGGTTTAAACTATTGTTTTGCAATTGACAATATTCCAAAATAGTCACTTTTCACACAATGGATTCCAGTGCAAAAGCAGGAGAATATGTTCTTATAGCTTAATCAGGGGCGGATCCAAATGGTAAATTACGGTGTCCATGAATGTCTCACAAATTAAAGAATCAGAAAATTTGAAAAAAAAATTCTTTAAACACTCTTTCTTCAATAAAATTATAAAATTATAATAATTACATATATTACAATTAAATACCTCAAAAAAAAATTTTAAATCCATTTCTATGTTTAATTAGTCCATTATCCGACCTTTTAGCTTCAATGTCAATTGCAATTCTTATCCTTTTTTCGGTGTAGGGGGACTTGATCAAAGGGTAATGACTGTTCAAACTTCAACGTCAGATACAAAATATCCAAGTACACCAATGTTTACCCTGGAATAATGAATTGGTCATTACATGATGCAGACTTTCCAAAACAAAAGCCAATGCAAATCGTGTGTTTGCTGCAGGAAAATCTCTCCAAAGTTTGTCTTACTTGGACCGCTTTTTCAACACGTTACCCCCTCTTTCCCTCTTGATCAAGTCAAGTCTTTTTTTTTTTTTTTAGAAATTAATTATGGAGTAATTACCAATGCCTTGTTATTCCAATTATAATAAAGTAAACATATAAATTTTTTGTAAATTCCATATTTTCATCAAAATTCACGTAATTGTATATACGACTAAAATAGTAATGGACATATAATTTCGTGTAAAAAAAATGAAATCACATAAGATATTTTTTTTTATAAAAAGATATTGAAACTTAAAAGATAAAAAAAAATTTATTTATATTAAAATTGAATTTTAATCCAACAAAGTATCAACATCTACTTTTAAAAAATACGAATGAACCATTTAAATTAAATTTTACCCTCACACATTATGTGGGCATAAAAATGATCATTTATAACAATAAATTATCATGAAAAATTTGAAAGTGTTAAGCTTAATTTCAATTTATTGAAGATAATTATGGAACGATGACTTCTAATCCAACTGATCCGACCTGATTAGAATGAATTTTTTAAAATTGAATAAGTGATATAAATATATGGAGGAAATTGACAATGTTACATGTCTTCAAATTTTCCTTAATTTTATTCTGATCTTTACCTTACATTGAATATTGATTTAACATGAGGTTCAGTTGGTTGCTTTGTAAATAAATATATATTCTAACCAATAGGACGACAGGTGTAGGTTTCCATGTGAACGTGAGCTCCTATGATCATCAAGAGACCAGGAGCCCAACCTTTGCACGATCTAGTACGTCTTGTTTGAACATGAAAAGGGCTTGGCTCTCGCTCTCAATGCAACCCTCCTTAATGAAACTTCCATTGCAGAAGTCAATGTTAGAAGTTGCAAGATTCGGAAACACAAGTACGTAAATAACATATATTGATCTTCCAAGTGTTAGAATATTTATGATGACACTATAAAAAAATTTTATATATTGATATTTGATTATACTAACAGTTAAATTATGTCAACAAAAAAAATTTTATTGATAAATTTTTAATATCGTCAGAATATATCATATTTATACTAATATTTTATTTAACCTATCAATATAAATAAATTTTTTGATGATATATGACTATTCATCAATATAAAATGTTATATACTAATTATTATTAACGTAACCGTCAGAATATACTCAAAACAAAAAAATTATTAGCTTTTATTTGGAAAAAAAAAATATTAGGAGGGGTTTGGTTTGCGGAATCGTAGATTCTGAGAAAAACTGTGATCTCTAAGAAAATGATATACTCGTGATTTTTTTTTTCAATTTCAGAGCATTTTATGTTCAAATTCACTCGTTTGATTAGGAGAAATTTACGTTAAATCTTAAATAATTACTATAATATCCTTGACATATATGATAGTAACTTAAATAATTTAATTTTTAATTAAAAAAGATTATTCAAGACATTTTTGCTAGAAAATACCCTGAGTAATCCTTACAAAAAATTAAATAAGATTATTGAAAGCGTTTTTGGCCAAAAACACTTTCAATAATCCATATAAAAAATTTTGAAAAGAATTATTAAAGGTATTTCTAACAAAAATACCTTCAATAATTTTTATAAAAAGTTATAAGAGGGATTATAATCTCAATAAATGTTTTTTTTTTTTTAGATTGGGTACAATAACGTTAGTTCTTAACTTATTTTAAATTTATGGATTATAAAACAATTTAATTATTATTTTATTTCAAATGTTATTAAATATTTTTACTTTTTTATGTATTTTTACTTTATATGAAATCATATCATATTATGATTATAAATAAATTAATATTAATAATTAAAAATATAATTAAAAAAAATTTACCAACACTTTAAATTTTATATCGACACGTTTTACTATTAAAATATTTCATGCTATACTGACAATCATCACGGACCGTTGGTAAAAGTTAAAACACATAAAGCTATACTGACAAGCATTGACCGTTAGTAAAAAATATACTGACAGAGATATTATCAGTATAAATTAAAAAAATTAAAACATATGAGTTTATACTGACGGGAATAACCATCGGTAAAAAGTATAATGCAAAACATATAATAGTTGTTAACCAATAACTATACATATAATGATGGACTAAAATCGTTAGTATATCTCTGTTACATATTCGATAGCTTAAAAATTTTAGTATAAGTCTATACCAACAATAAATATACTAATGGTTATAAATTTATCGAAATAAATAATTTGACTATCAGTATAGGATTTATTATATTATACCGATGAATTTTTAAGTTTTATTGATAATTTTATGATTGTAAGTATAAAGCAATTTTCTTGTAGTATGAATTGAAACTACGAAAGGCAATGTTGTTAGATTGCTATTTATATTATTTAGCCTTGACAGTAATGTTTTCATTTTTCCTAACCATTAAACACGCTAGCAACTAATTTCAACATCCATAGTAAAGCTTGCCAGCTTATAGACAATGTGATCGATCCATTTTAAACTACTCTTTAGGTTTAAGGTATTGTTTTGCAATTGAAATATTCCAAAAATTGTCACTTTTCACAGGATTCCAGTGCTACAGCAGGAGAATATGTTCCTATTGCTTAACCAGGGCCGGATCCAAATAGTGAACTACAGTATTTTATGGACAACTTCAAAAAGTGAAAAACAAAAAAAAAAAAATTTTAATTTCTCTGAATACTCTTTTGCCGGTAAAATTTATAAATTCATCACAATTTTGGCTTAGTTACTTCGTTGTCCAACCTTTTGGCTTCAATGTCAAATGCAATTCTTACCCTTTTGTTGGTGTAGGGAACGGACTCGGCCAAGCTTTTAGACTTGATCAAAGGGTAATAACTGTTCAAACTTCAACATCAGATACAAATTTTCCAAGTACGTTCTTACTCCATTGTTTACCCAGCAATAATTAATTGTTCATTACATGATGCAGACTTTCCAAAAGCATTGATGATGACAAAAGTCAATGCAAATCGTATGTTTTCTGCAGGAAAATTTCACCTATGTTTATCTTATTTCGGACTGCTTTTTCTAAACGTTAGCCTCCCTTTTGATCAATTTCCCAAGTCTTGTTTTTGTAGAGAGTAAATTATTGACTAATTACCAATGCCTTTGTCACTCCAATTATTATATATAGTAATGATATAGATTTTTTCCAAATTCTATGGTTTCATCAAAATTCCCCGTAAGATTCATAGTAATGGGAATATAATTTTATGTAAAAAAAATTGAGATCACATATGATTTTTTTTATAAAGAGAGACTAAAACTTAAGATAAAAAAAATTATAAATGTTAAGATTGAATTTTAATTTTGTATGTTATCGAGAACTACCACTTAAAAAATATTAACAAATCATTTAAATTAAGTTCTAATCTTCAGCACATTATTTGGGTTTAAAAAAATGATAATTTATAATGAAAAAAAAAAAAAAGAAAGTGTTAAGTTTAGTTTCGATTTGTTAAGGATAACAAATAATAACTTACAATCTATATGAAAGTGTAAAGTGATCCGACATGATTAAAATGAATCCTCTAAAATTTAGTAGGTGATAAAAGTCCTAAGAAAATTGGCAATGCTACATGTCTTCAAATTTTCCTTAATTTTATTCTGATCTGTCCCTTGCATTGAATATTTGATTTAACATGAGGCTTATTTGGTTGCTTTGTAAATATATATTCTAACCAATTGTAGGACGAAACGTGTAGATTCCACGTGAACTTAAGCACCTATGATCATCAGTCCACCTTACTATTTGCACGCTCTTGTTTATCAATTTTCTTTACCTTTCTCTAGCTCTCTGCTTTTGGGCATGTTCATTACCAAACTAAACCGAACTCTGCCTGCAAAACTCACCAGACACCTCTCTTTTTCAGCCCCAACATTCTTAAAAAACAATCAAACATCCATAACAACCTCAAACCTTAAACCCCAGAACTCCAAAATTTCAACTTTCATGAAACATGGGCTTATCCAAGAAGCCCAGAATCTGTTTGACAAAATGCCTCAAAAAAACGTTGTCACGTGGAATACAATTATTCGAGGCTATTTTCTAAATGGGTTTTTTAGTAAAGCCTTTGCCTTGTTCCATGAAATGCCTGAACGAGATATTTTTACGTACAACATAGTGATTTCAGGGCTCATGCATGGCCATGATGTGGAAGCTGCAAGGGAAGTTTTTGAAGGGATGGTTTGTAGAGATGTGGTATCGTGGAATGCTATGATTGGAGGGTATTTTATCAATGGAATGCTGGATGAAGGGTTGAAGGTTTTTGAGGAGATGCCGGGGAAAGATGTTATATCTTGGAACTTGGTGATTGAAGGGCTTGTGAAATGTGAAAAGTTTGATTTGGCTGAAGATTATTTTAAAAGAATGAGTAATAGAGATGTTGCTTCTTGGACTATTATGATTTCAGGGCTTGCAAAAGCTGGAAAGATGGCTGAAGCTTGTAAATTCTTTGAGGAGATGCCGACAAAAGATATTCGTGCATGGAATGTAATGCTAGAGGGTTATATAGGGATTGAGTGTGTTGACAAGGCAGAAATTTTATTTCAGGAAATGCCTGAGAAGGATTTGGATTCGTGGAAATTATTGATAAGTGGGTTGGCAGCAAGTAGACGATTGGTAGATGCTCTGCGTTATTTCATGGAAATGCCTACGAAATGTTGTAAAATATTGAACTCAATCTTGTTGGGGTTGATAAGAAATGGACTTGTCAAGGAAGCTCATGCATTTTTGGAGAAACAACCATATAATAATGTTGTTTCGTGGACGAATGTAATTGTTGGATATTTTGAAATAGGTGAGGTTGGGAGTGCGATTAAAGTTTTTGAATTGAGGCCCATTCGAGATGTAACTCTGTGGAATGTTATGATATGCGGCCTGGGAGAAACTGATTATGGTGAAGAAGGTTTTAAGTTTTTCATCAGAATGAAAGAATCAGGTTTCTCCCCTGATGAAGCTACATTTACTAGCACTTTGACCATTTGTTCAAATTTGCCAAGCTTAGACCTTGGGAAGCAGAGTCATGCAGAGGTAGTTAAATCAGGTTTAAATCATTTCACTGCTGTTTCTAATGCATTGGTCACTATGTACGAAAGATGTGGTAACATGCACTCCGCTTTGCTGGAGTTCTTTTCCATGCCGAGCCATGATGTTATTTCCTGGAATTCTGTAATATGTGGATTTGCTCACCATGGAAATGCTGAAAAAGCTCTAGAGATGTTTGAGCGTATGAGATTAACTGATGTTAAGCCTAATCACGTAACTTTTATTGGTGTTTTATCTGCCTGTAGCCACGCTGGGCTGGTTGACCAAGGTAAATACTACTTTGATTATATGAAAGGTAAATGCTCTCTTGAGCCAACAACTGAACATTATACTTGTATTGTTGATCTATTGGGGAGATTTGGACTCATAGATGAGGCAATTAGTTTTCTTAATCGAATGAGTGCAGATGGAATCAAAGTTCCAGCTAGTGTTTGGGGGGCTTTGCTTGGAGCCTGCAGAATCCACAATAACATCAAGGTCGGGGCGATAGCTGCTGAGAGAGTTTTGGAAATAGAACCTCACAACTCTGGTGTATACTTAATTCTAGCAGAAATGTATCTTTCTTGTGGACGAAGCGAAGATGCTGAGAGCATTCGAGCTCGTATGGAGGGGAAGGGAGTTAGGAAGCAACAGGGGCGTAGTTGGGTTGAGGCAAACAACAGCGGCTAGCCACATATTTGATATTTCTTTATGGAGACAGTCGCAGTTCAGGCCCTGAGTTCAGCAGAATCTTACGTTTTAAGACTCGCAGTAGTACGAAATGTACGCCAGAATCTTAAGATCAGATTTCGCTAATTGTGTATGAAGTTATATTGCTCTAGTGCAATTTAACAGAATTGTCAGCCAGTGGCCCAAAGTGTTTTGCTGAGTAGACCTCGGTTATGCCCCATGCATTCCATGAAAAGGAGAGGTTCAAAAGTATATATGAAACAAAATGACCCTAAACACAGTTTCAGGAATGAGGATAATTATTATATACACCTCTTGAAAGGTTGTACAAGAGGTAATATAATCTCTTTGTTTGAAGATTTATCAAACAAGCAGGGATATGTTTGTCTGAAAAAAAAAAAAAAAAAAAAAACTTTTCAAGACAACTACAAATTGTGATTCTGATTTTTTAGAACCTTGAGAAGATTATGTATTCAATATGTCCAGAAGGGTTATATGCCAACTCTAAAGGAAAAAAAAATAGTGGTAGGCTTATGAACCTGTTTGCATACTGGAAATTTTTTTCTAAAAGAGGATTGGGGTAAAAAAAAAACACTGCTACTCCAATTGAAAACTATCAGCTCCAAGAGTACAGGAGCAGTCCAAAAGAATCAGACGCCGAAATTTCTATGGATCTTGCCAGCTTGGTCTATCAGTTATAATGTGTCTTCTCTGATTTGAAATTGTTGTTCCTGACCCTTTCTTTGCTTTAATTTCAACATTACAGTCAGCATCATCCTTGGACTTCCTTGTCTTGACAGGACTTCTAGCAAAGATATGGCTTCCGGTTGAGTGTCTATTTTGAACCATATTATGATTCTTCAAGGCTGTGCGATGCTCCCCCTTGATCCTGTTTTTATTTCCAATCACTGCATCGTTGTCTAGATAAAATATTGCAAAAAACCATGAGTTAGAGCACTTTATGATTGTACACAGAGAAATCAAAACATAACAAGTAAATGTTGCAGTAATTTTGGAGTAATGAATTTGAGAATTTAATTATTTGTTGTTTCTGTTTCCTCCATCCCAGCCAAATAAATATCATTACATTCAAGAAAAACCCATATCATGAGATTTCTACATCTAAAAGAAACATCCTATAGATTATTTCTAGATACATCATGCAGCCCAGGGCCCCACCTGCAATTATGTTTCTATTTAAGGGATTAAATTTTCTAATGATGCTGCAAAGCCTTTTTCAAAGCAGAAGAATAATCTACACCAACAGTAAAGATAGAAAATCATAGTTTGGGTCCTATCCTGTTATCATTATGTGGTTTTAGCATGATTTATTCGTTTAAGTAATAACATCAAAGGCATGATCTGTTGTCAACCGGTCAAGAAGACCAAGTTATTATCAGCAGAATATCTATGTTGATATATGAAATGAGCAGCAATAAAAGGTCCAACCTGTTTCATACCATCGATAACAGCATGAGTATCAAAAACATTGCAATTCCGATGCGAGTAGATTGATTATTCAGATAAGTAATAAGTTTAAACATCTTGGTTCAGTTGGTTGCATGCAAACCGAGCCTCAAAATGCAAGAACATTACTCATAGCCACAGTGCTATACAACAGTAACAACTTTGATTCTGATGGGGGGAAAAGAAAATTAAATTGTAATTACCAGGACTGGATATGACAGCCCGAGGACGAGGAGTCAAACTGACTCTAATATTTGGTCTGTCTTCCTCATCAGTTTTTATCTTGTTCTTCTTTGCTTCTGCGAATCAAAGTATACTGAATTAAATGAATTGGGAAGTGCATATAATGAACCGCATGAAGGGCAAAAAACCTACCTTCAGTTGCAGAATCTGAAGGCTTCTCTATTTCTGGTACATAGGACTCGGGAATTCTTGCTGTGGGCATTGAAGAAACATCTTGATGCCTTTTCACTGTCAACAATTAAATATGCCGTTAGAAGCATATGACCAACCGGTCCTCCACCCATGTGGAAAAAAAAAAAAAAAAGATTCATCGTAGCCATAAAATGTTCTTCAATCAAGCATATTGACATAGTTATTGGAATTTAGCATGGGAAGTTAAAAGAATCAGACATATAGGGAACTTCAAATCATTTACTGGTTTCTTGAGTGGAATCAAACGTAATTACAAAAATCATTCAACAAACTACAACATGTTCCTGCTCTGGTCCTATTCTAGTCATAGATTAGATATCAGGAAAAAGAAGCAGAAGCTCCAAACTTTAACCAAGTATCGAATTAATCAGAGAAATGACTAAATACCATCAAAACCATGAAGCTAAACTTAGGGATTCATGTATCAGTATCGTATCTCTTTCATGTCAACACGTCTACATGAAAATACCTTGTCACATGTCCACGTTGAAACATCAAAATACTTCTTTTTTTTTTTATTTTCGCCAAACTCATATACAGTTTTTGTCAATTTTATATTGTGTTACTTTTATTTTCATGAGTGTCTAAAATTGCAGCCAAATATTTTGACGAATCATTCTAGGCAGGTTTAAATACAATTCCAAATTTAAAAAGGGAAACTGATCTACAGAACATTAAAAAAAAAACTTTAAGAAAGGCAGAAATATAAAAGCCCCAGGAAAGCAAAGAATACCTGGAAAATAAGAATCAAGCATGGAGAGAAACAGAACATCCTTCAAAGACAACACAGAGTTCATCTTGCAATCCTGCATAGCAGATTGATCATCTTGGTCTTGTTCCTTCAACTTCACCCTTGGATACACTACAAAAACAATATTTCCAAAGAATAAAACAACCCCATATCTCAGAATAGAATCAAACTTTCAATAATCAAATCTCCAATAGAAGTTAAAATCGAAAAACAAAAAACACCCACTTGTTTTTTTTTTCCTGGTTTGACTTGTGAAAGATTATTCAGCTGTTGACAACAACAACAAACTGTTGAATCTCCCTGCTGGGTATTTTAGTTTAAAGCTGATCGAACACAAAAGACGAGAAACATAACGGTATTCAAAGGATGTTGTTGTTTAAAGAAGTGATGAAAAGGAGTTGGAATTTTATCTGATGCTAGAAATCACAATTTTCATCAGGTTTGGTCAACTTGGCCACTGATTAAATGAGAGAAAGCATCACGTTTTCGTGATGGGTGGGACCCATTAACCATTTTTTTTGTCTTTTGGATTTCAGAGTCAGATGGATACGAATACGCCTACTTAAGTTGACCTTTCGATTTTGATGGCTCTGTTTCTGTGTCTTGGCTTCTACTTTATGCCCACTTCTTCATTTCTCTCCGTGTTGAACACGCGTGGCAACTAAGAAATGGGATTCTCATTTTTAAAACTATTTCTTTGGCACACTCCATGTAAAACGGGTGGATTGGATAGGACCTGGTTGAATTATTTTGGGTTGGATGTTTTGAATTGAAAAAAAAAAAAATTTTTATTTTAAATTTAAATCATCTTGAATTTAGATTTTTGGATTTAAATTATTAAAACTTAAAATTAAATCAATATTATTTAGATTAATATTTTAGATATTTTGAGTTTAAATAATTTTAAAGTTGAATTAATTTTATTTGGAACAAATTTAAGTTAAACAAAAATTTTAGGTATAAGTTAAGATTTCTTTTTAAAAAATTTTGTAATCATATATAATATTATATTATAACATACATAAAAATTTGATAAGATTTATTTACATTGATGCTTAAATGGATAGTTTATTTAGATGACACATAAGATAATAATAAATAATTATATTATATATTAGTAAAATAATCAAATATCAAAAACTTTTAAATTAAATAATTAAATAATAATAAAATATTCAAATATTAATTTAAAAAATATAAATAGATATATGATTATTTAATTTATTTAATATTATTCAAATTTGTTTAAATTAATAACAGTATGCATGAATTACTATTTAAAAATTATAGTTTAAAGATTTAAAAATATCTATCTTAATGCATTTTTTAAATCCCCAATTAAATAAATGAATAAAAGCATCTGTTTAAATAAATGGGTAAAAACATGTTCATTTATTTATACTTTATAATACTTGATGTAGAATTGAAAATATAATAGATTTTTGCTATTTTATTCCATCCAAAACTCTTTTCTTTACTCCCTTTAATTCCAAATATATTCAAATTCTTCATCTAAAAGCTTTTTTTTATTCATATTTCTTTTTTAAAACTTTATTTCCTCCTTTAAATTTTCTTATTTTTTTTTACAATGATTTATATGGTCAATAAGAATAAACAATAGTTTTTTTCAAAAAAAAAAAACATTTTTTCATTTCCATGAGGTATGTGATTTATATTTGTAAACACTTATTTTCATCTGGGATACATTTGATTTGTCAATTTGAGTCTCTCTTAGATCATTAGACCTTAAAGGTGTTCATTTCTCGTTTAGGCTTTAAGCCTGGTAATTGTTGAACAAATATAGGCTTTAGGCCCAACCCATATTGTATTTACTATTATTATTATTATTATTTATTTCTAATTTTATTTCCATTTTTTTGTTCTTTTTTTTATCCATGATTTAATTCACTGACAGAATTGAAAAAAGGGAAAAGAATAAATTGCCAGTTTAGGGATTCTGAGCGAAAATTAGGCAAAAAGGGATTTGAGACTAATCAATCATGATAAGATCCCAAGATTTGAGCCTGGATTAACTCTATTCAAACCTTAAAATCACTACTAAGACAGGTTATAAATGGGATGTCAAAATCACACAAAAAACAACAAAGAAAAATGAAGGAGAGTCTTGACTCTGGGTTAATATTGTTTAATTGATTTTTATTAGGGTTAGCATTTGAGTTTCTGAGTTTGGGGGAAAAATGAAACTGTTAGAAATCTTTGAAATTTTTGAAATGGGGAATTTATGAAAAAATATAAAAAATTTTGAAAAAATTAACATTTTAGGTTGAAGGTTTAAATTTTTTGGTTGAATTTTTTTGGTCTACTTTAAAGTTTTCGGCTAAGTTCTTGCTAGTTTTTCAAAATCCAACAACCTAACCTAGTTTTCGGTGGCCAGATCTGAAATTTCTAGAGAGAAAGTAGAGCAAAAATTTTCTATAAAGAGAGAAGACTGAAGTAGTTCTGAGAAAAAAATAGAGGATTTGGGCTTTTATAGCCAAAACGATGTTGTTCTAAAAGCCTAGAATTCGTATGTTGACCCGTTGACCGGTGCACGACTCGCGTATTGCACCTGACTCGATCGTAAGTTTTTATTTTATTTTATTGTCCATTTACATTTTTATTTATTTTATTTTTCTAAATTTTCTTATTTATTTTCTATTTCATTTTATTTATTTTATTTATATTTTTTTTAGATTCTTCTTAACTTCATTATTATCAATACTTATATAGATTTCATATAATAAAAATGTTCTAAAAAGAATTCGTGAATTCTACCAAATTATTGGAGGTTTCTTCATGAATTTAAATTTTTTATTAATTCTACCAAACTATTAAAAAATCTCATAAATCAATTTTCAAAAAAAAAATAATTACTAATAAAATATTTTGTTTTGATCCTATCAAACTATTAGAGGATTTGCATCTTAAATTAAATCTTACCAAACTATTGGAAGATTTAATATATTTTCTAAAAAAAATAAATTTACAAAGAAATCTAACTAAACTATTGAAAAATCTGTATCAAAGTAAATATTACTAAACTATTGAAAGATTTTACTAATTTTTTTAAGTAACATTTAAATGAATCCGACGATGGAGTCTCTTCAAGATAGAACAATAGTCTCCATAAACACTCATAGAGTGAGAGAATTATCTTAAATTGCTATCAAACTATTTGAGTAATTTTAAGATTAATTATTAATATTGAATATTTTGGTTATTCATAAATATGATTAAGGTTTGGATAATTTGAAATTAAATCGATACCATCCTTTGGATGGCTGCTGTGGAGGTGCTATAACTTTTTTCACACGTAATCATCCTTCTAAATCCAAAATCTAGTTTGTAGACTAAAATTCATAATTTAAAGATATTTAAGTCAATATTGGGATTCTTCTTTAAATATGAGAGATTCGATTATGTGATCAATCACACCTAAACAAAAAAGATTGGTTGTGACTTCTTTAATCTATGTTTAGTGATAAGTCTACGGATCTATACGTTATGATAAGTTTTTAAAAAGTTTTTCATTTCTTGATTTTTATGTAATTTTTTGTTAATGTATACATTAGTCTTATTACTCATACTCTAAACTCTATCATATTATAGTGATAAAAATTTTAAATTGGAGTTTTTTAGTCATTTTTTTCTATGAATGAAACTTTTTGATCATTGATGTATGTATGCATAGAGAAGATAAATGTTTAAAGGATTGAAGAATGATTTAGAAACTGACGAACTTTTCTCGGTTTAACTTCCTAAATCACATTTTTGTCTTTAATTTCAAATTCTTCTATTTTTTTTTATCAATTTCATTATTAAATTTTAGTTATATTCTATCTTAATTATCAATTTTTCTTATAATTTCCTCATATTTATAAGTACTTACTACATTTGGATTTTATGTAAACTTTTTTTTATATATAGCAATTTTTTTTACCAATTAAGCAATCAAATTTATGAAATAAATTTAATTAAAAATTTCAATGTCTTAAATATTTACTAATATATTTTTCTTAATTACGATGAAGGTCAAAAAGTTATTTGAAAATTTTTTAAATAAATTATTGTCTTATTTTGGAATTTTTACACTTTCAATTTATGAAATTAAAAATCAAATTAAAGATTTTAACGTTAAATATTTAAATTTCATAAAAAATTAAAAAAGAAAGAAGATACAAATATTTAATGATAAAAACAAAATTTAGAATCTACAAAAATTCTATGTAGATTTTTAATTAATTAAGTTAAATATTATTATAAATATAAAAATCATGTGCATTTGTATGGGTAAAAAACTAGTATGCACATAAAAAGGAATTATTGGTGTTGCAATTTAAACTTTAAAGCTATTATATATAATTTTTTTAATTCTTAAAATATTTATTATATTGCATCAGATATAGATGCTTAATAAAGTTTGTCACATGAACGTTTGTATAAACTTTTTTTTTGAAGGACATGTAAGATAGCTTTTTAAAAAAAGTAGAATTTTTTTTTAATTATAAATTAGATAATTTTAAATTTTTTCAAATAGTAAAATTATTCAAATTATAATTAAAAATCAAATCAATCTAGATATATATTTTTTAAAAGTTAAAAATTATTTTAGATTAATATTTTGAGTCATTTGAGATTAAATTATTTCAAATTCAAATTAATTTTATTTGGAACAAATTTAAGTTAAACAAAAATTTTAGGTATAAGTTAAGATTTTTTTTAAAAATTGTAATATGGATATATAAAAAGAGTTATCGGTGTTGCAATTTAAACTTTAAAATTATTATATATCATTTTGTTAATTTTTAAAATATATATCATATTACAACATATATAGACATCCAATAAAATTTGTCACGTGAATATTTATATAGATAATTTTTTTAAATGACATATAGGATAGTTTTTTTAATTACAAATTAAATTATCCTAAATTTTTTATAGCAAAATTATTTAAATTATAATTGAAAATCAAATTAATCTAAATATATATTTTTGTAATTAAAAATTATTTTAGATTAATATTTTGGGTCATTTTAGTTTAAATTATTTCAAATTCAAATTAATTTTATTTGGAACTAATTTAAGTTAAACAAAATTTTTAGGTGTAAGTTAAGATTTTTTTTACAAAAAATAATTGCAATCTGCATATAAAAAAGAAATCACGATGTTGTAATTTAAACTTTAAAGCTATTATATATCATTTTTTTAATTTTAAAAATATATATTGTATTACAATATAGATAGACACCTAATAAGGTTTGTCACATAAATGGTTATGTAAATAATTTTTTTGAATGACACGTAAGGTAGCTTTTAAAAGAGTATGATAGTTTTTTTTTAATTACAAATTAAATAATTCTAAATTTTTTCAAATAAAAAATTTATTCAAATTATAATTGAAAATAAAATCAATCTAGATATACATTTTTTAAAATTAAAATTTTGAAACATGGATTTTATCTTCATAATAAATAATTTTAGTTGTTTATTAAATAATTGTAATTAAAAAATTATTTAATTATCAAAATCTTTCAACATGTTTAAAAATTACAAAAATTAAATTTATCCAAAATTTCAACAATATTTTCTATCTTGATTTGAATAAATAAAAAAAAATTATTTTTTCAAAAATTTATGTAGAAATTGAAAATTCAAATAATTTTTTATATCAAATCTTTAAAATAATAAGATCATACTAAAGATTATATTCATCTCAACTTTAATTATCAATTTTTTATTTCAAACATATGCAAAAAATTTGATTTGATCTTTGTCACTTATTATATCTCTTTTAAATAAAAAATAATTTAAAAATTATCTATTCAATCTTAATTGCCACCCACTAGTTTTTCTATAAATTTAAGACTATAAATACAATGTGTTATATCAATTTTTATTTTATTTCCAACTTTTTTAAGGGTATATTCTATTACTGTTACAATTTATTTTTTTGTTCACAACTATTTTTTTCAATATATATTTTATTACTATTACAATTTTCATTCTTATGAAAAATAATATTTTTTCAATTTATTTTTTCTTTTTTGCATGTCTCCTAATATTTTTCATAGCAATTTAATCAAGATTACAAGAGTGAAAGTATATTAATACTTTTTTTACTAATTAATTTATCATTTACTAATATATATGTTTTGTTTTTTAAGAAAAACATAATTTATTTTTATTTGATATAATCTTGCATATATATAAATATTGCTATAGATAAAATAATTTAAAGGGAAGACATGACGTTTTTTATTGCTTTTTTCAAAAAGTTTATATTTTAAGACAAGTTAGTATATATGATTTTATATACATTATAAAATTTGAAATTTTGAATATAATTTTAGAAATAAATTAATTTATATATATATATTGATATTAAATAGGTAAAATTATTTTGTGCATTGCATTGGTCACAATCTAATAATTATATAAATTAATTGAGTTAAACTAATTTAAGTTAAATTTGACAACTCTAATTGCTATGTAAACGAAATCATAAATAATTTTATTAATTAAGTAAATATTAAAAAATTATATATCTAAAGATAGATTTATTTGGTTATCAGTGTGTCACTCCCACTACGTCAAGATTAAATATTTTTATTTTAAAAAATAAAATATTTAATTGTTTATTTTAATATGAATTATATTTATCTAACTCACTTAATCATTTATTTTTTATTATTTTTAATAAAATGCCACATGTCAAATTATAATGGTAACGGTAATTTAATAATTTAATATGTAGTTAATTTGATATTATGTTAAAATTTAATATGTAATTTAATAGGAATATTATAGTAATTTTGAAATAAAAGCCAAATGTAAACTTCCTATAAAACACTCATAAAGGTATTTACATAATTATGGTATGAGAGATATTTTAATAATTTTGATCAATTATGATATGATAGATATTTTTTTAATTATGATATAAAGACATTATAGTATTTTTTTTTGTCAATTATGATAGAAGGAACATTTATGTAATTATGATAGAAGTGCATTATAATAATTTTGAATGTAAAAATAAAGGTATTCCTGTAATTATAGTAAAAATGAATTGTAGTAAATTTGAACACGTGGCAACATTATATCGAATAAATAGAGGGGAGTTATAGTAATTTTCATGAAAATTGTTTTAACATATGTTATTTAACATTTAATATGTAATTTAATAAGAGTATTATAGTAAATTTCAAACAAAATTTCACATGTCAAATTTTTATAAAACAATTATAAAGGTATTTTATTCATTTAATATGTAGTTAATTTTATATTATATTAAATTTTCATATGTAATTTAATAAGGGTATTATAGTAATTTTGAAACAAAATACTACATATCAACTTCCTATAAAGCACTCATAAGAACATTTTTGTAATTATAATCTAAGAGGCATTATAGTAATTTTTTGTTGATTGTGGTAATTCTGTTTATGTAATTATGATAAGTAAAGGTATTGTAGTAATATTGATAAATTATAGTAGAAAAAGCATTTTGTAATTATTGTATGAAGATATTATAATAATTTTAATTAATTATAAGAAGAGACGTATTTTCGTAATTATGGTAAAAAAACAATGTAGTAAATTTGGGCACATGTTGATGTCTTATCAAATAAAAAACAGGCTATTATAGTATTTTCAAAGGGATTTTTTTAATATATATTATTGATTTTGAAGCAAAATGCACATGTGAACTTCTTATTTGCACTTATAAAGGTTTTGTTATAATTATGATAGTGGAGTAGTATAGTAATTTTGGTCAATTATGGTAAAAAGAGCTTTTTCATAGTTATGGTAAAATAGTTTATAATAATTTAATTAATTATAAGAGGAATATATTTTCATAATTATGATAGATGGGTATTATATTAATTTTGGTCAATTATAAAAAAAAAATAAAGTTTTGTAATTATGATATAAAAATATTATAGTAAATAAATATAAGAGAAGTAATTATGTAATTATGATATAAGGGTATAATAGTAAATTTAAACACATGTCAAATTCTGATTAAATATGAAAAAAGGTATTATAGTAATTTATTTGGGAATAGTTTTATAAATAATTTTGAAAGGAGGGTTTTTTCATAATCATAATATATAAACATAATAATAAATTTAGAGTGCTGCTAAATGCACTCCAACTTTTTCTCTTCACATCCTACTTTTTTTTTTTCAAAATCTTTTATAAGTAAAATTACTTAATTATTTTTTTACTTTTAATACTCAATTTTTCACTCAATACATCACACACTAAAATATAAATTTACTAAAAAATTCAAACACCTCATCTCCTTTTCTCTTACATCCCATATTTTCTCTCTCTTCCTAATTGAAAAATATAAAGGATTTTAAACCCAATCAAGCCAAATTCAAAGGAAATTTTACCAATTTAAAGTAAAAAAAAAAAGCATAAAATTAAAGGTAATTTTTTTGTTCTCTTTATTTTTTTCATTTAATTTTTTTGTTTCGTAATATTTTTGTTGAAATATTTTGGTACGATTCAAAATTTTCAGAAATGGATTTTCGGAAAGTCTAAGGTTTCTAGAAGTTTTTAAAGGTTTTCAAAAATCTATTTTTGAATAATTATATGACTTTTCAAAAATTTATTTTTGAAAAAAATTTATGATTTTTTAGAAATTTATTTTTGAAAACTTTGAATTTTTTGAAAATCCATTGTTAAAATTTCTTAATCATATCAAAATATTTTAATATGAAAATTCATTTTTGAAAACTTGTGTGAAAAAAAGGATAATTAAATAATTTTACTTATAAAAAATTTTTAAAAAAATTGAGGTGTGAAGAGAAAATGTTGGGGTCTAAATTTAATTCATGTCAATTTTTTATCAAATATGAGTATGGCCATTATAATAATTTACTTGAGAATTTTTTTCATTTTATAGTATAGATATTTGAAAAGGAGAAAGGTAATTCCCAAATTATTTAAGGAAATAAAAAACAATTTTGGGCTGTTTCTGTCAAAGGTTAAATTACCAGCGTTTAAACTTGTACAGTTCCCATTGAAATTTGAAGAAAACTGGTCTTAAACCTTAGAAACTTCAGGGTTTAAGCCCTAGAAGAACTTCGAAGAATCAGGGTTTTTCTTTTTAATGTGGAGCAGAGCAAGGTTGAGCTTGAGATGGAACATGCGCCGGCGGTTGTGCACGGCGGCTCCACGCCTGATAGAGGATGAAGGTGACTGGTTTTACTCATCCGAGTGGTGGGGGTCGGAATCCCAATCCGAATTCAATGGAAACACTGTCTTCCGCTCCGTCTCTGAAAAAGGAAACGGCGTTGTCTCCGTCCTCGCTTACCCTTCTTCTAGACCCGTCAGTTTCTTCACATTTCGCTCTCTTTTTCCCATTTATGCATTGTATAGCACTTAACCTTTATTGGTTTTGAAAATCTTCTCTGGGTTTCAATTGTTTTTAGCTTTGCAAGTTCACTGCTTTCTCTTTGGGCGTTGGGGTTTCAATAAAGTTGATTCTTCTTTTCGTTAATCAAAAGGGTATGTTTTGTTTTTGTCAATGATTAATTTCTTCGAGTGATTTCAAGCTTTAAGTTGCTGTTGCTGATGCTGTGAAATTGGTTTCTACATCCTGAATCGGTCTGTTTTCTGTAGAGAATATATGATAAATTGCTTTAATATTTTTGCAGAACAAAGTTTACTGGCCAGAAACAGAGAAGTGGCTTGAGCAAAGATATGCAGAGATGCATCGAGGTTCTGAACACGGTGAACATTTTAGGATACTTGGATATCAATGGCGTGTCCTTCGCTTTAACGAACATACTCGCCAAAGTACAGTTAAAATAATGGCTGCTTACCGGGAAACCGAACCTGGCTCTATATGTATTATGCAGCAGCCACAGTGTCTGGCAATTCCATGTAAATTTCTCCTCTAGTTCTTTTCTCAATTTTTCCTTATGTTATCTTTGAAATATCTAGTTGGTGGGTGAAGTTTCATCGGTAGTTCTTTCATTCCCATCCCATGTACTTCATGCTTAATGTCTTGAATAATAGTTCACTCCTTCCTGCTCCAGTTCCCCCCCCCCCCTCCGGCATTCTATTTGTCATCTATTCAGCATCATAATCTCTCATTTCTTTTATTGATGGAAATCTATCTGATATGATGAATCTTAACTCGGATGGTAGCTCTTGAGTAGAGGCATTTTCTCATTATTTATCCTTCCCGTTTATACTATCTTTTCTATCTTTCCTCGAATTGGGTCAATCACGTTTATTAGAAGTGGACAATAGAGTGGTTGTACCAGCCAAAACTCATCTACGTATTATTGTAACATCTGCTGATGTACCTCATAGTTGGGCTGTACCTTCCTCAGGTGTCAAATGTGACTCTATACCAGGTCGTTTAGTATCTCTTTTGAGTAGGTTATCTGCCAAATGGGATATTGCTTCCATTTCTGTATCTTCTCATCTCTTTTGACTGCTTTAGGACAGGGTGAGCTCTTCTGTGTCTATTTGGCTGTCTTGTTAACAACTACATTAATAAAGGGGATGCTGGCAGGACCACAGGAGTACTGGTGTGGCGTAGTGAAAGATTAAGGATTTGAGAAGTCATAAGTTTTTACCAGTTTCTATATTTCTTGGAATGATAACTTTACTAACTCAAATTGTAACACAGCATGTATTAACACACCATATTTGTGAAGTAATAGGATGCATGTTGTTCTTAAGATGTGATTGCAGAGTATGTATATATTCTTTAAAATATGTTTGTATATGTATATATTTCTCTTGTACTTTTAAAATACGTATATGTATATATTTCTCTTGTTCTTATGATGCATTTGGTGATACTTTTGAAGATGTCAAGAGTATGGTGTCACTTGGATTGTCTACGATAGCATCTTCGAATTACAATCTAATGGCAGCGGTACATGGGAAGAAAAGGATGCATATTTTATGCATTGGTCATGGTGGGGGAAGTTTACCATTGTTTCTGGCTAATAAAATTCAAGGTAGAAGTTAGCTTTTTTATTATTAACATATTTCGTTGTTCAGTATTAAGTTGAATATTTTCTTATTTTTAAGCAAGAGAACGTTCACAACCAATGCACACCAAAGATCAAAGACAGATTCCTTATACTTGAAGTATTATTCACCGCTTATCTTCTCATTTAGGCCATTAGTACTACTTAGTCTAAAAGGAAAACAAATTATCTGGTTTTCTAAACATCTTATTGAATTGATTGAACTAAATCATTGGCATACATCCACATCAACTGACCTTAGATTCTCTGCTTCTTCCAGGTGCTGTGATCCATGTAGTTGAAATTGACCCCGTTGTTATCTCAGCATCAGTCCAAGCAATGGGCTTTCCAGCTTTCTCAGTCATGACCCCATCAGGTGAACGTGCCCTGTCAAAACATGATGTTGTTAACGAAGTAATGTGGAAGGGCATCCATGAGAGGCTTTACCTCTATGAATCGGATGCTGAGAAGTTTGTCCTTGAGAACAACAATATGTATGATATCATCTTCATTGATGCTTATGACGGTGATGACATCTTCCCTAATAAGCTATGGGATCCAGATTCCCCCTTTCTCAAGTCTCTCAGTGACCGACTCCATCCCAAACATGGCACCGTAGTGGTAAACCTCCATGCAGACTCCGATATCTCAAACCCCAATGAGTCCGTTTCCCACTCCTACCAGCAGGTTCTGCCAATCAGAAGGTATGTCTCAAGAGTTTGCAAAGCTTACAAGGACGTCCTCATCGGGGAGGAACAACCATGCAACGGGAAAATCGGGTGTGGTTTAGGATTCGCTATTTCAGTTCCTTGGGTGTGCAACACATCCTTAGTTGTGAGCAGAGGATTTGGGTTGAGTAGTGGATTTGTTAACAGGGATATGGTAGTGAATACCCTCATATCCAATTCTGTCAAAGTACACCAAATGTTAAACTTGCCATTCTCATGCTTGCAGTATATAAAGAGAGATTTTACAGTCGTTTGAGTAATGATTCAATGTTAAAGAAAGGATTAATATCATATTTGATCTCTGTATTTTATGAAATTTTTAATGTGGTATTTTTATTTTTAAAATATATAACATGATATACATGTGTCAATTTAATACCCGAGATTAACACTGTTAAATTACCGTTAAATTAGGTGGATGTTATCCTATTGTATAATGACATGTTTATTTTACTATGTTAACTTGTCACATTCATGTGTTTTAATTTTAAAATATATAAGAATGTTTAAAATAAATTTTTATTTTTAAAAAATAAGAAATGAATTTTTAAAAAGGAAAAAAGCTTATATAAAGTAAAATATTTTGAAAAATATTTAATAATTTTGGATATTAAAAAAATCAAAATTTTTAAAACTAATATTTTTGAAAAAAATTATTTTTTAAAAAATATATTTAGAAAAAACAATAATATTTCTTTCCTTTTTCTTTCTTTTCCTCTCTCATTTCCTTCCTTTCTCTCTCCCAATCCCTCTTCTTTGTTATTGAATCCAACCAATAATAAACAAATCAAACTTAGAGTATTTTTCAAATCAAATTCGAGTTACTCATGAATAATTTCATTAGTTTATGATCTACAACACATGATTTTTCTTTGAAAAGGAAAAGTTACTAGCATTCGTGTTCTTAAAACTTTGAATCAGATTTTATTTTTGTTCCTAACTAAAGTTCTAATTAGATCTTTAATTGTTAAAAAATTATCATAATTTGGTCCTTTTATTTATGTAACCATGTAAATTAACGATAAATATCAATTGACAACATGTAAATAGTGTCAATTAGTGTGAAAATTAAAATAGAATTGTATTCAAATTTTAGAGGCCAAGGATGCTATTATCTCATTTTTTATTTCAAATATATTTTATAAAATATTAAATTTAAAATAATGTTTTATATTTCTTATTTGTAATATACTTTATTAGTTAAATTTTTTTTTGTTTTTGATAAAAAAACATATATTCAAAAATCAAATTAACTTAAAAATTTTAAAATATTTGTGAAAAAATTTCATATCATTTTAAAAATAAAAAACTATTTTATATTAAAAATATTATTTACTAATAATTTATATTTAAAAATATTATTTTCTATCCAAAAAATTATTTTTGATTAAAATTATTAAATATCTATTTCTTTTCTTTTTTCTAATATATTTTATCAAATATATTTTATAAAGAAGAAAAAAGGAAACTAATAATAATTAAAGAAAAATATTGATTTTTTTTACAATTCCCATATATTTTATAAAATGTTATAATTTAAAATAATTTTTTATTTTAATGATGATATTATTTATAAGTAAAATACTATTTTTAATAGAAAATATATTTTTTAAAAATTAAAATTTAGTTTAAAATTTGAAAATCCTTTTCAAAAAAATTATATAGCATTTTAAAAAATTAAATAAAAATTTCTATATTGATTTAAAAAATTAAATAAAAAACTCCATATCATTTTAAATTATCAAGTAAAAAATTTAATATGATTTTAAAAAATAGATTTATTAATCTATTTAAAAATCTATTTCCTATCAAAAAATCTGTTTTTTATAAATTTTTACTAAAAATTTTATATTTATATAGATATTATTTTAAATAACTTGATTTCTTCCACTAATTGTATAAGGTAAGGACCGATTTGATTCTCTTTTTTATAATTTTTTTATAAATATAAAATTTTAATAAAGAATAGATTCAAAATATTTTTTCAATAAGAAAAATATTATGAATAGATTAATAAATCAATTTTTTAAATGATTTGAAAATTTTTACTCAATACTTTAAAAATATATGAAGTTTTTTTTTAATTTTTTAAACTAATATAAAAGTTTTTACTTAATTTTTAAAAATGATAAGCAATTTTTTCAAAAAAAAATTAAAAATGTTAACTAAATTTTAATTGTTAAAAATCTATTTTATTAAAAATTCTAAAAAAGTCAATGAATAAAACATATTATTATTAAAAAAATATAATTTTATAAAAAATAGTTAAAATATAAAAAAATTTTGAGATAATAGCATCTTTGATCTCTAAACTTTAAGTGAAAATTTATTTTTATTTTTTTATCTATCTGTCATATGAGATATTGATTATACCATTCACGTGACAGCCACATGGCGTCAATGGACATGTATCATTAATTTAAAAGATTGTATAAATAAAATCATCAAAATAAAATAATTTTAAAAATTAAAATAAAATTTGACTCAAAATTTAAAGACCATGCTATTCATCCGGAAAGAAAAAGGGGCAAATTCTGGGGCTATGGAGAGACGAAAGCCCATTATAAGACGACCCAAAACTGAGGAATTCTTTTCTTTTTACGAAAATTTTGAGAACAAGCACTTTTTTTTATTAACAAAGGGTTTGTCGGCGAAAAAGACAAAAACAAAACACAGGGTTTTGGAAAAACCCTTCTCTTCTTCGTCCTTTGTCCTCGCGTTTCTCTATCTTCAAAAAAATGTCTTTCTTTGGGCAAGGCAAAAAACGAGGTTTCGGCGCAAGCGACGACGACATGGGTATCATCACCAGACTCTCCCACGCCGTATCAGACTCCCCAATAACCAACGCCACGAAGAGAGCCGCCAACGACGCCGCGTACGTCACTAAGAAGCTATTGAATAGCACGGGAAAAGCTGCGTGGTTTGCAGGGACAACGTTCCTGATCCTTGTGGTACCACTTATCATCGAGATGGATCGTGAACAGCAATTGAATGAGTTGGAATTGCAGCAGCAAAATCTCCTTGGCTCACCCCCTGCCAAGTAATACAGAAAAATCGCTTCTACGCTTTAATTTGCGAGTTATTTTAGAATTTTCAGTGTTCTGTTTATTGCTTAATGGTAATGCTTCATTGGATTTTCTTTTTTTTTTTTTTGATTAAATTAAATTTGAAAATTATGAAATTTTATTGTTTGAGACGTATTCAGGTTTTTGATTTTTTTTTTTTTGTTTTGCTAGAAAAATAATTGAAATTGATGCAATGTATCCGGATTGTGAAGATTTGATGAAACTTAACCATAGATACAATTGAGCTCGTTACACCATCACTCGAATTTAAAAACCAATTCTAATGATATTCATTTAATATAAATTTTTTAATAACTTTTTTCGATCGTAATTACAGTAATTATTTTTAATTATATTTATAATAATAATTATTATTATTTTTAATTTCAACGAGATCAATCTTTTCATTTACTCAAATAGAGTCTTAAAGAAAAGGAAAGGTATAAAGTGTGCATTTTCTCATCAATTTTCACTCTCTGCATGTTGTGAAGAAAATTGAATAAATGCAGTTGCTAAATAGATACAGATTAAGGCTCTCTTTACGATCTTCAGAGGCTTTCCTGGTAGTGATACAATACTCACTATCCCATCTTATATAAATATATAAAAACTAAAGTTTTTGACAAAAATGAAAAAAAATCTTTACGTGGACGGCTTAAAATATTGACACGTAAATGGTTTTAAAAATCATCACGTGATATTTAATAAATACGTTTTATTCTATTTAATTTATTTTTAATTTAAAAATAATTGAAAAAAATTAAATTGATTATATTTATATTTTTATTATTAACTTTAAATCACTCTTAATTTGATAAATTAAATTAATCAATATATAATTAATAAATTAATAAATACTATAATTACAATTATAAAATAATTAATTTTTTAATCAATTATTTGATATATTTATATTTGATTAAATATAATATCCAATAATTAATGTATTTTATGTGTAAATATAGAAAGTAAATATATCAAATTAATTCTTCATAATTAAATTAATGAAATAAAATATTTTATTAATTTATATTTGATTGATAGATTTATATTTCATTAAATTATAATTTCATTTGGTAAAATATTAATGCACGTTTGATTTTATTTGATAAAATATTAATGCACTTGGATTTCTTTGATTTCATTTGTAACGTTTTATAATTTTAAAATCTAAATGTTAATACACATTGATTTAATAAAAATTTAATTTACTTTATTACCATTATTAAATAAAATTATTTTAATTTATTTTATTATTTAAATTAAGGGATCTCTAAATGTTAATGTTAGAATAAAATATTTCAATATCAATCAACTTATCATTGTCAGACCATTATTCACTCATAATTTTTATTATTTCAATATTAACTTTCATAAATTAAAATTATCTTATTAATTAACCTACAACACACATTTTGTATAAGTAGTTTTAAGTTAAGTATAATGCATCTTTAATTACTTTTTACTAATTTTATATATTTTGATCACTACTCAATTTTACTTCAATTTTCTTTTTAATTTTCACTTTACATTGTTTCTTGGTCTTTGCTGCTCAAAAGTTATTCTCTTTTTAAACTTATATTTTATATTTCTTTAACTATATAAAATTGATGGAAATCTTCAATGTTATTCCTACAATATTGATGTCCCTAATCCAACTGCATGGTAATTAATATTTATATTTTTTATATTTGATACATAAAAAAATTATTATTCAATGATGATAATTAAAGTATTTTAAATTATTTTATTATATTTATAATTATAGAATTTTATATTTTTTATAGGTATAAGTTGAATATTGAAGCATATGATAATTCTAGAATGATGATGTTCGTATAGTTCAATACAGATGCTAGGATTTAATTAATAAATATATTGACAATTTTTATGAAATATCTTTAAGTTATTGAGTTAAAAATTATTTTAATATTATTTAATATTCAAATTAATTGATTGATATATTTATACTTATTATTTAAGAAAATGAAAATTATAAAATCCAAGACATATTTGAATATCTTAAAGGTAAATTTTATGTGTTCGAGACGCAGGCAACTAAGTATAATTTTGAGATAAATAATACCAAACTTACAATGAATAAGGTGTATGATTTTGATCGTAAGCTTGAATGTAAAATATTATTAGAAGATATATGTATAAGCTTATTATAATAATTATATTTGTTATAAAATTATATAATCTAGATTATAATTCAACTGTTATTAAATTACAAATTCTTGTCTTATCTATCTTTTTACTTCCATTTGTGAAATTTATTAGCTCATCAAGTAAAATAACACACATTTCAAAGATAAAAAAAAATACCAGAGAATTAATTGTTGCATCTTTACTTCAATAAAAACTTATGAAAGAATCTCTCATGAAAAAAGTTTATATGTGAGATTGATTTTAAAGATTTAATTTTTAAATTTTTGAAATTAAAAACATTATTATCTTTTGTTTAGAGATTATTTGAATTTAATAAATTATAATTTGAGTTTTTTTTAAAATTGATGATAACTATATAAATATATTCAAAATGTAATTAATTTATTTTATTATATTAAAATATAAATTTTAAATAAAAATAATTACATAAATTATGAGTTGTTTATAAATTTGATAGCTCATATTATCATCTAAAAAAATTATATTTATATAAGATTTATTGATACATGAATATTTTCGTACATCGTATTAATTTAAAACTAGTATACCATAAAGCTAACATCTCACTATGATACCAAAGTGCTTCTCTTCTCTCTCCTTTTCTTACTTCATGCAAACATCTCGTCCCGGACGGGCCTGTAGCCTAGTTTCCCAATCTCTTCCATCAATTTGGCCAACTTTGCATAAATTTCTTCAATTCTCTCATGCCTCCTATCCCCTGCCCAAAGCTCTTCTACATTTCATCAACATCCTCGTATCTGCAACCTCATCCCATCTTCCTACAACTGATCAAGATATTTGCAGCTGTCACATAAGCTGAATCATCATTAGGATCCAACTCCAACAACCTCCTCCTAGACATCCTCAAAGCCAGATCTGCTGCACCATGATGAGCACAACTTGACAACAGTGATCTCCACAGCATCAGGTTTAACCGGCATTGTCATTGCGATCCTCTCTGCATCCTCCAACCGCCTAGCTCTCTCCAATGCACCCACTAAACACGTATAATGCTCAAGCCCCGGCTCTATGCCATACTCCATTTTCATTCTGTTCACCCACATCTATGCCACACCAGATTCGACCGCTAACATTGTATCTGTTTAACTGCAACAGAAGTCTGACGTTATGTGTTTAACTAAGAAATAAGAACTACCCCTCCTGAGATTTTCTCAAATATTGTTTCCACAAAAAAAAAAAAAAAATCTTTAAAAATTTAAATAAATTTTCTTGTCTTCTTTTAGAATATAAAAAGAAAAAAAAATGATATAATCGCTGTTAGGAGGTTTTTTTTTTTTTGAATTGTTGGTTTTAGGAGTTTTGATTTTAGAAATTCGATTTTATAAAAGCTACTATAACTCATAATAAATATTAAATAGATAGATTTTTTATAAATATTTTAATGGTATATATTTGATTTTATGTACATAAAATTTTATGATTGTGGACATCAAAATTTCATGATAACTTTTTGAAAAGCCCCGAAATCAGATTACGATTTGCGCTCCCTTGAGAGGATGGATTTTTTTCCGAATTGCTTCATGCAAATTAATGCATTCTTTTTTTTTTTTTTGATAATTAAATTTTTATTTCAATACCCAAAAATCAGAATAAATCTCCTATAAAAGGTAAAATTTTTACCCCACAAATCAATCTTTAAAGCAAAAAAATATAATAATAAATTAAATCTTTAAATCCAATTTGATACTTTCTCTTCCACAACTTCTGTCCAAATTAATTTTGTGTCTTTTAAATGATGGAAAAATAATTACTAGTACTACTTTTCATTGTGTAACTATAAAAGCTAATAAATTTTTCTAATATAAAAAAAAAAAATGCAAGGGACTAGTGAAAGAACAACATCCACATTGGAAACATTCAATCATATAATTCATATGTAAGAAATCAATTGCAAACTGCATTTCAAAAGCAATCCATGGTGTTCTATTAAAATAAAAAGCTTTTTATTATTTTATTTTAAAACAACCAAAGTTTGAACAAGCACTTCTTAATAACTGTTTATGGCCCAATTCTATGTTTTTCTTGTTTATATTAAACTGATTTTTCTTTTTTTTTTTTGAAGTATTAATATATGATATACATTCAAATGGAGACAAATATGAATATGGTTTGATCTTCAAATATATAAATAAACTTTTTAAAAAAAATTATCCCACATTCAAATAATCATAAAATCTTGTCATTTTCCCAAAAAGATTTCATTTACAAAAAAAAAATGAAAATCGTCCAAGTAAGTCCTTATCTGGCGGGAGGACAGCTGATTACAGCTGTTGAATATCAAGTATTTGGTACACTTTGGTCGGTCGTCAATAGGCATCATCACTTAGAGAGAGCCTCCTTTTTGCGGTGCACAGCTGTGAACCGTTTCTTTCTTTGGGGCAAGTAGCAGTGTAACAGTTCGTCATATAAAATATTAAAATTTATATATTTATATTATATTTTATAAAAAATTATATATAATAATTTATGTTAATATAAAAATATTAAATACAAATTTTTTATTTTATTAAATTTATATATTTATTTTTTTTTATTATATTATATTTTAAATTATCAGATATAAATTACACCATCTTCCTCAATTAATTCATTGGACCATTTTCTTGGAAGAGCTTGTGAAAAATGTTCACAACATGGGATAGAGGATTTGAAACAGAAGCAGCTGCTGGGGTTGAAAGTTGTTGTTTTAGGCTTTGAAGGTTGGTGAGGGGAACCTTTACATTTCTTTTGGGCTTGTGGTCCAATGACTATAATTAGACAATGGTTGAGACATAAGGCTAAATTATTTGGTGTTGTTTTGGAATATAAATGAAACAGAATTGATCAGTGAACAAGACACTGACTGGAGGCTATGATTCTGACATTCTAACTCTACCCTGAAACAGTTTCTTTAGTTGGAATTCCAATAGAGATGAGAATCTTCACACTCCAAAAGCATAGTGGTACAAAACTGTAAAAGAACTTTGGGGACCTCACTGCATCAACAGTTTGAATTTCTTCCCAGTTTCATAAGTTTGTAAGAATATTTACCAAAGAAAAGAATAATCAAGGCCTAAACTTTGGTCATTTAAGGAACAAACCAACCAACCCGGCCAAACCTACAAAAGGCAAGCCATGTGATGATGTGAATGTGCTCTCACTTCCCACCATGCTCCATTTCTTTCCTGGCTTTTTCTTGTTCATTTTTCCTTTTGAGATTTTTGCTTTGATTGCCTTCAAAGTTTTCAATTTCCCATTTTTTTCTGCTATAAAAAGTTGTAAGGAACAATCAGCATTTGTTAATATTCTTTCTGAATATTGAATTCACCATGTTAATATAAGGAAGTGATTTTTAAGATTGTTCCAGAAAGAGATTAAATTCAAACAGAACTCAACTCGCTTGACTAGCTCTCCTAACTGTTCATTAATTATGATTTACACACTACCATATATATGATGAAAGCGAAGAGTGAAATGACATGTTTCCATTGTAAAATTTGGGTGATAAAACCAACTTCCCATGTACTTCCCTGTACAAGACAAGAACTCAGTGTGCTGCCAACCTGTGATAATTACAGCAAGCTGTTCATTCTGTTGCTTTCTAGACAGAGATTTGGGAGTGGAACAAGGAAATTAAGCCAAAAAAGTTGGGAAAACAAACTCATCTGTTTATGATTTCTTTTGACAAGCCAACAGTGATTAAGGTAAATTATTTGATGAAATTTTTAGGTCCTAAACTTGGGGTTAACTCAAAGGAAAAAAGTGAAGAGAAGAGATTGAAAAAGGAAAAAGAGAAAAGAAAGAAAAAGAAAGATTAATAATACTAACTTGAGAAGAAAGAAAAATGCTAAATCATATACATCATTGTCTGCAGCCCCTATCTTATATCATGCGAGAGAACTTAACATGGACAAGCACTAGTTTAATAGTACTTGCAATAAGAAATTAGTGATGATTCTGTTGAATCTACGGCAACATTTTCTAGAAACTCTCCTTAACTTTTTTTTTTTTTAAAACTATTTTATTACCATGGAAAAGATTGCATAATTAAAATAAAAAAATAATCTAAAACTTAATTCAATCAATTATATATCAATTCATATAATTATATTTAAAATTTGACTTTCAAATAACTTTGAAGTTCAAATCCCTTGCAATCCCTTCTCTGCATCTCTTTGCATAAAAAAATCAAAAAGCAAAAAAAAAAAAGAAAAAGAAATAAATAAAGGAAATCATGGCCTGCTCCAACCAGCAAATACAAAAGATTTCAACAGTATGGTGAGAGAGCGTGTGTGTGTGTGAGGCATAGGGAACTGCTTTATGAAAAGCATAGAAAGATCAAAAGATATGAAGAAAAATGAAGAAGCAATAGCATGGAGAAGGGAGAAAAAAAAAAAAGGACAAATAACCACATGGCCAGTAAAAACCCATTGCTCAAAATCTCATTCTCTATCATCCATTCAAGATGACAAAAACATTAATTCTTTTATAGTTCCTTGCAATATCATCTTTTTCACCTTTGAGAAAAAAATGCATGTTTACATTTTCATGCCCTCCCTCTAATGGCCAATGCTTCTCTGAGTTCTTACCCTCAAATTCTTACCTAATTGGAACAGCTCTTTCTCCACCAAATATATTCACCAGAAAAAAACCCAAATCAAATTTCAAAACGAGGAAAGAAATGTTCTGCTTGAAAGAATCTACCTCTAAATGAACGCTGACCCCTTCAGGAATCTGAAAAGAAATTAAAAGATAAATAAATGTGTATCAGCAATCAATTTACAAACTCCTATTCAACAATAGAAAGCAGGAATAGAGAATACAAATAAATTTTTGTACGTCACAAATGCATACCATCGCGTTTCTTCATCACACCTCTGGCAAACATCAACAAAATTACAAGGAATCCCACTCCTGCTGCCCCTCCCAATATTATAGCCACTGTCTTTCCTGTATTTTGGCCTGTCCCTACATCAATCAAAAAGATCCCCAATCAATTAGATTAAAACGTTTAGAAGAGATTAATCTGAATTAGGACAAAACTCTTTTACAACCAGAAGGCTAGAAACTAATCAATCAAACAAGGATTTAGAAAATCAAATAAATGAGAAGGAAAGGCAACCCATTTATAGTTACCTGATGAAGATGAAGGATGTGAATATGAAGAAGATGATGATCTTCTAGGAACACCATTAGGATAATAACTGTAACTAATGAAGCACTTATGCAGATAGATTTGACCTGAGATGGAACTCCCACATTCTACTTGAGCTCTTTGAACAGCACTCTTTATGCAATCTCCACAATCTGAATCTCCCACATCTCCTTCACATTGCCCCAATAAATAAACAGATTGGTAATTTGTGGTATAAAAACCATGGCTACTAACCACCCCATTTTCCAAAACTGAAAAAGCAGTATCTCTCCTCTCTTCAAATCCGGTTCCAGCAACATTTGTGGCACCACAAGTCTTGAACAACATTTCCATGCCTGAAATTTGAGCAAAGCCAGCAACTTCATACAACATGTAGCAGCCATAAAGTTGGATTCTTGAAGCTATAGTTTTGCCACAAAGTTTGTTAGCTAAAGTTGGGAGCTGGCTGACACAGTTGTAACAGTCACTGTTACTGAGGTCTCCCCTACATTGAAAAAGGCCGGTAATGGTAGTTTGACCAGTACCTGTAGTTGTCTTGAAAAACTTTACCTTCATGGACTGTGAAAGCAAAGTTTGAAACAAGGCAGACAGGGCCTGTGAGTATATCCCAGCTGGATCTGTGAAAGCCTGCTTTGCACAACCTTTGTAGACCAACGTTGTGTAATCAGAAGCAGATTCAACTAGTGAAGAAAGTTCAAGATTGGTAAACAAAACAAGAAATGAGAGGAAAAGAAACAAGGGTTTTGAAGAAAAACCAAAACCCATTTGTTGGGGTAGTTTTATTGAATCAAATCATTACAGTTTCCTTGCAGTTTTGGTAGGGATCCGTAGGTGCTTGGTGGATTTTAGCTAAAACTAAGCATAGATTAAAAGGTTGAGTATTTGGTGTACCTTTGGTTTGGTTTCAACAGCTTCACCCTTTAGAAAAGAGTTTTCAGTTTTGGTTCTGCTCTTGGTTTTGTGGTCTTTGGGATTTTTATTTTCCTTTTTTGGATGGCCTACCTCTGAAGCTGTGCACAGATGACAGAGGGAGGTTTATCGTTTGCTCTTCACAAGAGACTACAATGCACAAAACAATTGATAGTAAAGAAATATTTTTACGGAAATGCTGAAACTGATTAAACAAACGTTTTGAATATTTTCAAGAAAATGAGAACAAAATGAATTTATGAGATGTAAGGGAATCTAATTTATGGGAGGAAAGTGCCGTCAAGTTTGACTGAAGCATATCTCACTTCAAAACTGCTTTTTAAACATAATATTTAAATTGAATAATAATTGTAATACTGTTTAAATTTTAGCATACATAAGCCCTGGATGTGCATAGGATATGTTGAAATTGTTCTTTTCTTCTTTCTTTTTTCAAGAAAATGACAGCCTGGCATGCGTTTGGAAGAATTTATAACATGACAAAACCTTGAATCATTTCATAGCTGGCATCATAGCATTGGTTGATTAACCTAAAGACTAATTGAGGTTCGGTAGATTGATTTCTTGATAAAAAATTGTTTACTATCAGACAGTACATAATATATTCTTCAGCAGAGTCTTTTTCTTTTGTGTTATGGTTGAAATGCAGAAAATTCCCAAAGTTGAATGTTTGTTGGTTGGATACTTGGATTGATTGATATCAGACAAAATGGTAAGAATCAGATTATTCTGATGACTTTAGCAAACTTGTTACATTTAGATTAGCATCTATCCATAACTGGGATTGACTGTCACTATACCAATCAATTTTGGCAATCAAACAAGCAAATTATATATATTATCTAACTTGATAGTCACTATTTTAACAGCTACTGATGTTGGAAGTGAAGCAGTTTAACTGTTGTGTACAAGTTTTAACCAACAATCACATGAATAAAATTTTTAATTTTAATGATCAAAATGTAAATTTTGACTACCTCAAGTACTCAAAAAATGTCAATTTTAAACACTCTTTTAGCTGTCCTGAAAACTACAAAGAACATGAATAACAATCTAGCAGTGGTTTTTTTATGATGTTTGGCTCCTGATTTTATTATTATTATTATTTGTTGTTTTCTTCCCAAGCTAGAGAAACTCATTCATGAGCCATAGTCAATAAATAATGGCATTCAAATCTTTCAGAGTAGCAAAAAGGTAATGGTTTTGAAATTTAAGATGTTTTTCAAACAGGGGGAGCGTTATTTTAGCTATGTTCACATGGAATTAAAGTGTGGATCGGGCTCAGAGAAGCAAAGCCTGAATGCCTGAGAGCCTGGCTAGCAAGTAGCAAACCCTTTTCAATAAAGTTAGTGTAAATTATTAAAACCTATGCTCACTGCTCAAGTTGTCGAAAAAGCATAAAATCATACATAATTATGTAGATGAGAAACTTGAAAATGTAGCAATGACTTTGTTAGCTCTTAGGTAGTTCAGTAAAGCCGAAGTTGAAGATTTCAAATTCGAACCTCCATCGTAATTTAAAAAAAAAAACTTGAAAATGTATGTATTAGAAGACAATCATTAAATCAAATGTTTTTTTAATAAGAAGACCATATTTTAAAATTAAAAATATTAAAATTTTAATATCAGACTAAATGTTATAAAAAAAAAGAAAAACACATGGCTCAATTAAGAAATAATGTAGCCACTTGGGCATGCTCTCTCCTTGCAGGAAAAAAAAAAGTGGCCAAGAAATAATGTGCTAGCAATATACGATGGAGGTACATACAAAAAACCCATGCTAAAATAGCTGCTTAGAACTCTTTTCAAATCATTCAAAAATAGTGTTTGATATAAAATGATTATTTAAAAATTTATGGTGATTTATATATAATGATTAAGTTATCATGTTTAATAAATATTTGATAATTTTATATGATAGTGATCTTGAATCATCGAGAGTGATCAGATTATTTTTTTATAAAATAATCTAATTCTTATCTAAAAGAGTGAAAAATTTTTATCATCGAATTAAAATGATATATAAAATCAATAATAATTAATATTATTAATTCAATATGTGAATTAAAATTTTGATTCATTTTAAAATTGTAATTATTTTATATAATAAATTTGTATATTTTCAAACTAATATTTATTATAAGAAATTCAAAAATAATTTGTATTTTTAAAAAATTTTTCTAATGCTTTATATATAATATAATGTCCTTGTTTTTTATTATGATTTTAATATATTAGTTTATTTTCTAATTCAAATTTTTGTTACATAATTTATATTATAAAAATTAGTTTACTTAATAAATAAATATATTTAACAATTTAATTATGTTTATTATAAAATATATAAGATATTATTATGTTTTATGAACTATTTTCTTTAAACAACATTTAAATCATTAATTTGTATAATTATTATAATAAGGATAGTTATTTTTATATTTTTAAATAAAATAATATGTAATTTTTAGTAATATCAAATTCAATAATATTTAATTTGTATGAATTAATAATTATTAACTAAATAAAATAATTTTAAATCACAAATGATAAAATTATCTTGATAATAAAATCATCTCTATAATTATATTACCATGATAATTTTAAAAATAACATCAATAGGTACCAAAGAGAACCAGTTTTTCAATTACTTCCCCTAGCAGATACCAGCTGGTTTGGTGTCTAATTTCATAGCTCTATGCCAGCTTTCTCTATTTTCTGTATTTTCTGAATGAATACATGAAAATATTACTAGTTAGGGGTGATAATAGTTTAATTTAGATCGAATTTGGTTAGGTATTTTTGGATATTACATAATATTATGAAATTTTAAAATTTGAACCAAACCTTCATTTAAACAAAATCGAATTTTATCGATTCGATTCGATTTAATTTCTTTTTAATTTTTCATTTTTCGATTCGAAATTTAATCTGAATATAATATATATATTTAATATTTAAATTTGATTTAAATCGAATAAAAAAATTATTCAAACTGTAGTGTTTGATTTAATTTTGATTCAAATTTTAAAAAATAAATTTAGTTCGATTTGATTTACATTTCATAACAAAAAATCAAAATTAGATAGATTAAATCAAATTATTTTTACATTTTTATAAAATAAAATAAATTTAAAAATTAAATTTTTTTAACGTTAAAAAATAATCAACCAAACCAATTCTAAACAATGAAATTTAATTCGAGTCAATTTAGTATTCGATTCAATTTCTAAAAAAAAACAAAAACAAAATATTGTTCATAAATAAATTTTTTTTTTAAATCAAACTAAATCAAATCATTATCACTTAATTAATATAATAAAAAATATTGTATAATTTATATTTTTAGAATCTTAATATTCTTACTTGTATATAGATATTAAAAAACCTTGACCATAAGTTGATTAGTTATTCCTAACTTCTTATGCTTGACATTTGACCTACCTAACAGTCACATATTCCAAGCTCATCGACCCAAACTGCCAAATTTTCACTTTTTTTTTTTTTTTTTTGCTATTGTTAACTACAAAGGAAATGCTATATTTAAACTCAAAACTTTCATTTTCATTGATAAAATTATTCATAATTAAATTCTTTAATATCAGTCACATCGACATACCATTTTATTATACACTTGATGAACAACACAAGATATAATAAAAATTATTTGCCTAACAATGACAAATTAGAAACATAAACCTAACAAATGTTAGGTTACTTAAAATGCACAAATATTTAATTTTAAGGAAATTTTGCAAGACAATTATTTTATGCATTAATAATTTAGTGTTTAATCTTTGTGATCACGGATTTATAACATAAATATATAATTATTAGCTAAATTCATTTGTATAATTTAAATATTTTTTGTGTAATATTGGGTGTCATTTTTACAAAATTAAGTATCGTGGTTTAATTCGTGATATTAAAAAGACTCATTTAAATTAAATATTTAAATTAACATATCACGAATTTTTTTATAGTTAAATCTTAAAATTTAATCATAAAATAATGCTCAAAATGCAATGAAACTTTTTTTTTTCTACACATTCAAATGAAGGACAAAACTTATATGAAGTTTTTTAAGTAAAATTTATGAAATTAAAAAAAATGATTTAATAAAAATTTTAATAAAAAATTTAAACCATAGGTTAATAAAATTTAATATTAATATCAATAATATATAAAAAACTTATTAAATTTATAATTTAAATTTAATCGAAACTAATTTAATGATAAAATTTATGTCAACATTTTTATTAAAAATATTTATATTAAAGTATATATCAAAATTTATTAAATTTTTTAAAATTTTACATACTTGATTTATACAACGAAAATTTTCAATCTATTAATTTTTATTTTTGATTTTAAATTTTATTTAATAATTTATAATAAAAAATTTCACGAACTTCACTTAAAAAATTTTGTCTAAATATTTTCTTCAAATAAAAGCATTAGAAGAAAAATAAAGATTCAAAATTAAAAAATATATATCTCAAAAAATAAAATTGACAATTTGTATATTCATATTTTATTATATATAAAAATCATATGTTATAATTTATATTAATAAAAAAATAAAAATATATTTTTTTAGTTTTATTAAATTTATATATAATTATTATTAAAATATTAAATTATATTATTTTTATATTTATTTTTCATATTATTTTTATATCATTAAATCGTATTTTAAATTATGAGTTTTAAAAAAAATTAAAATAGATAATGCATTATTCACTACCCACCAATTAAGAACAGGGAGAGAAAGAGAGATACGTAGAAAATACAAATTCAATTTGTCCAAAAATCAAGCAAAAGCCAAACACCTCACCTTCGCTGCTTTTTCTCTCTTGTTTTTTCGCCCTTTCCCTCTATTCGCACCGACAATTATTCTCTTCTCCTCTTCCAAGTTCTAACCCAAAAATTGAAAAGGAAAAACAAAACTTCTTTTCCTTCAATTTCACTCAAAATTCATTTATTTGTAATTGTTCATGGGTTAAAACCTAAAAAAAAAAACATTTTTAACAGTAAATCACTTGGAAAAAAAAATTGAAAATGAACTCATTGAGAGAGAAAGTAGCGGGGAGTCTTTCACGTTTATTTGCGGATTCGCCAAATCATTCTCCTCCTTCTTCTCCTTCTTCACCATCTGATCTTTATCAGGTATTTTTTTTTTTTTTGTATTTATTGTTAGAAACTTGATCTGGGTTGCTTATAGAAATTGTAGTTAATTTTTTATTGATATTTCTGTTATTTTTTTAAATGGGCAGCCGAAAATTGTATTTTTTTTTGTTTTATTTATGATCTTTGGAAAATAACTAAAATTTGCTGATTTGGGCCTATTTATATATATTATTTCATTCATAATCATCACAAATAAATTTACTTTTGGTAGCTTAGATAATTCAAGAAAGGGTATAACTAAAAATGTATTTTTTTTTCATAAAATATGTTTTCATTGTTTAGGTATTTGATAACCCACTTTATAGATTGGCCTGAACAAATGTTTTTCATTTCAAGTTCAATTGTAAAGCTTTAAAAAATGGTTTTAGGATTGGTCAAATACTCAAATTAATATTTTTCATTTCAAGTTTTTTTTTTTTTTTGCTATTTTATGTTTCATATATATATTTGATGTGTTAAAAGAGTCATTTTACTTGTGAATTTTAGTTACAGTGATTTTGTGATGAAATTTTTGAATGTGTAGGCCAGATGGTATTCTAAACGGCCAAAATCTTTGTCTTCAGTATTTTCTTACATTATCCCTTCAGTAAGCTTCGGTGGGTCTAAATCGAATGATCATGAAAGTGATCTAAAGCCAATTCAGTCACTTCCGGTTAGATGGAAGAACAAGAAATTTGAGGTGCAAGATGAATCTTTGGATGGTTGTAAAGAATGCACCGTTACGTATATGAGTGAAGACTTAAAAAAGGTATGTGAAGATAAGGAGAAAATTTGGATGGATAGTGATGATAAGCAAACAATTAGTCCTCGTTTGGATAAGGGTCACACCTCTGAAGGGAGTAGCAGTGATTCTGATGAATTTCATGAAGCAAGAGAGCAACAGAGTCCAGTAAAGCCTCCACCGAATCTTTCTGATGAATCTGTGTTTATTACCTCTGATTTGTATGAATTCTTGGTCTCTTCCCTTCCCAATATTGTTAAAGGGTGTCAATGGATGTTGTTGTATAGGTAAGACTTGTAATAAGCTTTGCAGTTCTTTGGTAAAAACTGCTTTGTGCTTTTGGTTTTGGATCTTTATTTGGTATTAACTCTTTCAAATGAAGGGCAGTACGTTGAAACATGGTATATCACTTCGGACACTGATTCGTAAGAGTGCTGAGCTTCCTGGCCCTTGTTTGCTGGTATGTTGATGTTTATATATTAATGAATTCAATTGTCATTAGAGGTTGTCTATCTGAATTTTAAAATATTTAATTAGTTTTTAATACCTCGGAATTATTTGCATGATGTTGTACAAATTCTAGATTACTGGAGATAGGCAAGGAGCTGTCTTTGGTGCAATGCTAGAATGCCCCTTGAAACCTACGCCAAAGAGAAAATATCAAGTATGCTAACAGACCTGTTTAAGTTATGAATATAGTTTTGTTTACATGATGACTTGGTTTCTCTTTATTATTTGTTGCTTGTTTGCCATCCTTCTCTATGTCCTTTCATTTCTTAATTTATAAACTGTGATTCTGCCTCCTTAGCTTTATTTCTCTTGTTTATTGACAGGGAACAAACCAGACGTATGTATTCACAACCATATATGGTGAACCGAGGCTATTTAGACCAACTGGTATGCAATTTGTCAAAGTATTTAATGCACTTTATTTTTTAGATACTGTAGTGAACATGTCAAGACAAATCTAACTTACTACTTACACATGTAATAGTGATATACATAAAGAGAAAGATTAATTTAATGTATGCCTGCTGATTGGAAGATGTGATTACATTCATGCTGCTTTTATAACCACCACATTCTTCCTATGCAATGTGATTCATTTTCTATCCTCTTTTTCTGTCACATATGCCCAACTTGAAATGTGCTCTTTATCAATTTGATTGACAACTAAATGCTATCAATTGTCAAATGTCAAGTAAAGATTATTTTTTGGACCAGATTCTTTGTTTTTTTCCTGAAACTAGATAGGAAATAGTTTTAACCTTGATGGATGGCATAAGAAATTAATAATTGTGTTTCAAGGATTAATATGCTGGTTTTTTATTCAGTGAGATTAGTTTCTTTTTAATCTGACAAAACTTTTAAGCACTTTGCTTGAGTTGATGTTGAATGATTTTTCATGCATTATAGGCTCTGACCTTGTGTCATATTTATCTAAACAGGTGCCAATCGTTATTATTATATTTGTTTGAATGACTTGTTAGCACTTGGTGGTGGTGGCAACTTTGCGTTGGGCTTGGATGGAGATTTGTAAGTTGCAATTTGCAGTTTTCTCTTTTAGAGTTCTGCCAAGTAGACTTCTATTAAAAATATTTTATATTTTTTTCTCATTATTGTGATTTTCTCTTTACAATAGGTTAAGTGGAACTAGTGGACCTTGTGAAACATTTGGGAACTTGTGTTTGGCTCACAACGAAGAGTTTGAGCTAAAGAATGTTGAGGTAATTTTAGTTTCTTTTTGACCAATTTCATTCCAAATCATTTTTGGTTATCTGTTTCTCAACATTAAGCGTAAAACAAAAACTTGAGTGATCGTCTGATAGGCTGCTGATTGAATCTCAAATATGGTTCAAGTGAAAAAGTGATAAAAAAGGCCAGTGCATCTCTTAATGAAAGGTAAAAGGGGAATTTTTAATAAACATATAAATTTTGCACTACCAAAATTTACCCATACCAATGAGCCCTGACATGCCTACTATAGTGTCTATAAGTAAATGCATATGGAAAACTCAGCATGCCTGTTCTTTTTGATACATACAACTTGCGAACAAGGAAATTTCTCTCTTCTTTGGTTTTGTAATGCCAGCGTTTATAACTCCTCTCAGCCATAGGTGATGAAACAATTGCTTTGTTTCACTTAGCTGCTCTACTTATGATTAAGCAGGACTGGAGTATTGGATGAACTAAGACCTAGATCCTGTTAACTATTAAAAAATTCTTAGTTTTGCTCCAAAAATTAGAGACAGGAATTTAACAGGTTGCAGATTCATTTACAAGGAATTTCTGCGCATATCCTGTTTATGTTTTTTGAGCAATCATGTTTCCTTTAGATTTACTTAAGTTTGAAACGTTTTCTCCCATTGAACCCCTTGTTTGATTGTACCTTTGTATTCTATATGCTTTAAACTTGGCAGCTTTGGGGATTCAGACATGCGTCAATACTTCAGAACTGAAAGCAACTGCAAGAAGGCTGAGATTTTTAGCACAAATCTGTAATCCTTTAGGGAGTATTTAAGTTGCCATTCTTTATTCTTTGACTTGTACCATCCATGATTTTTCCTGATTTTTGGGCTGTTAGATTGAATATGGTGGCGTACTTGCTCTTCTTGTAGGTTAAATTATTGGGGTTTTGATTAATAATTGAAATGACACCAATGAAGTTGTTTCTTTCCGATCTGAAAGCATTGCTCAGTCCGATTAATATTTTTCTAGCTTAGATAAAAGTCGTAAAGGCAACAATTGACGATATCCATTTCCCCATTCCCTAAGTTAAACGTGAGTCAGAGAAGATAGAATGGTAAAATCCCATTATCTGACATTTAAAATCTAGGAATTGACATTGTACTTTCGTTTCTTCAAAAGCTGCTTAGCTGATACAGTGGCACATAAATTGCTTAAGGAATGGCCAAAACTGGTGTGCATTCATGCCCTAGCCTCAAAAGCGATTTGGGAACAGACTCAAGGCTACCAAGATTTAGACGGACATCAAAATCTGGCGTTTGAATTAAACCACGAAACACACAACAGTCACAATTTGCGATATTAGCCAAAACAGAAGGGGTTTTTATGAATCTGTTGAAGCATCATCTTCAGGAAGGCCAAATACGCGAAGGTTGCGATCCATTGATCCCACTGCCAAATACCTTGCGTCTGGACCGAATTTGACACAAGTTGCTCTACCTGCAAATAGAGGAGAACAAGGCACTTCAACTTCAGCTGCCAATCAGAATAATAATAATGATAATAATAGACTGGGAACAGAAGACGAACCTGTGCCAGACAAATCAGGTAAAGTTTTGATGCAATTCCATTCTGCTTTGACGCTGCCAACTTGGTAAACTCTGCAAGAACAACATTAAATCAGCATCAACAAGTATCATGGGAAAAGAATCTTTGAAATAATATTCAGGAGAGGATGAGCTTGTATGACTACAGAGGGAGGGAGGGTGGGAGCGAAGACATAAGTTTTCTGGCAAGATTACTAAACACATGTTCTTAGGAATTTTAGATAGGAGGAATCCAACGTTACTACGCCAAATCTCCAGACAGCTTTATAAGCACTCTATTGAGACGTCATGTGCATACAACAGTCTACATCCAATTTAAGTTTCATTCCAGAGAAATATCCTATGCCAAGACTGTATATGGAGACCTTAAGAGCACCTACCGTACATCTGAGCCTGCAATTGCAAGGTAACTCCCGCTATGGTCGAAATCCACTGAGAAAAAAGAACAGAATTAAATCTGCTGTTAAGTATAGCTTTTCATGATAACCAACTCTGATCAAAAGAAAGTAAAATTTTGCTCGTTCACTTTTTTTTTTTACCCTTAGGTCTAAAGTTGCCACTGAAAAGCAAGGAGTATGTTGAGAAAACTAGTTTACATAGAACAGTAAATAGAAGTACTATGCCAAAAACATCAGCTATGTTACACTACCTAAGAGAGCCAATAGGTGACAAGCTAATATAGAGCCAAGCAGGGTCTGCTACCAAGATATTACATACCAGAGTTAGTTGGCGTGTTTTCATCATATAATTCAAATGAACGGAAGTTCTTCAATTTGCGCAGATCCCACAACTTAACACCATCATGTGCAGCAGTCTGCAGTTACAAAAATAAATCAGTTCATGGAATTCATGACCATCAACCTAATCTGCATATATCGCTAAGTGCTTACAGCTAGGAAGTAACCATTTTCCGAGAAAGATATGGCTGTTACTGCCCCAGTGTGTCCATCAAAGTTGGCAACATTTCCCTGTAGGGTAATAGAATAAAGAGAAAGTGGTTTTAAAAATGCAAGACAAAATATCTAAAAACATTAAGTTCAGTTCTCATAACATAGTTTCTATATACCCGACTCTTCACATCCCAAATTCTAACAGTAGCTCCTGTGGTGCCTGTTCCAAGGATGAGACCGTCGGGATGAAAAGCAGCAGATGTATAGCCCATGGAATTTGAAGGGTCTTCAACCTGCAGAAATAAAATTCTGAATCATATTATAGGAATTCCTCTTCAAATAAATGAAATGGAAATTTGGTTCAAGGAAAAAGAATATCATTTTCTGATGACCTCTACCAGTAAAGAAAATGATGTTCCATTGAAAGCCCTAAAGGCATTTAGGGGAAATTTGAATACATGCTAGAAATTCACAAGACACTACTAATAGTCCACATAAATTCTGTGACTGTGGAACACAATTAAAACTTCACAGATTAACTTTCACAAATCAGTTAAACACAAGTTAGTATTGTCAGAACCCATAATTCAGGGTCAATTAAAGAGATTCAAATACTAATATAAGTTACAGTTAATTAAAAGAGACCAATTAATCCATTTACTTCATCAGCAATAATAAGATGTTCATTGTAACGCAAAACCTTACAGATCAGAGAGAGGGAGAAAGAGGGATTAAGACCTGTGTCAAGCATAGGCCAGAGGAAAGATCATAAAAGCACCATGTTGTATCAAGCGAAGCAGTTACAAAGTAGTTATTTGTGGCATGGACTGTGACAGCTTGAACCTGGAAGAATAGAAGGTAGATTTATTCTAATGTCAACAAGACTACAAATGAACCAGACTTAGAATTTGATAATCATAGCAGTCCGTATTTCAGAATATTTGAATTCGAGCGTATATTTACCTCAGCTGTATGATCTTTCAAAATATGTCTGCAATCATAGTTTCCATCTTCAGACCCTTGCCAAATGCGAACAGTCTGCAACATTCAAAAACCAATCAGATTGACATGCAAGCTAAAACATAGATAAAATATGAAGCGGTATAGTTACGGTTATACAATTAAGATGTGAACACTATATGCTTTTAAAGAACAGCTTTTAAGGAGAATAAACCTAAAAAAGGACCACAATAAAAGGAACAAAAACTGGAACCTGAGACTTGAAAAATTGGCTTACCTTATCTGCTGAACCACTTAAAAATACATCATTCTGAGCCACAAATTTTACACTTGTAACCTACCAAAGAAGAATGCAGTCATACAATAAATTTCAAAAGAAAAATGTATACAACAGTAGCCCCTGACTAAAATAGAGGAACTGAATAAACCTTCTTAGAGTGACCAGTGAGTGTTGATAAAATCTCTCCAGATGTTCGATCAAAAAGTACTGCACTAGAATCAATCCCACCTGTCGCGACAATGCCCTAACAACCAGAAGTAAAAGGAAGTAAATCAACAGGATTTGAAGACTAGTAGAAACATAAAAAGGTAGAGGTTATTCCAATTTTCATTTTGCATTGCTATCTGTAAAACAGATTTCCATAATATACTCTAATTCAATGATTATGAAATTAGATAAATCAAATAAGCAATTTATTCTCCTCTAAAAACAAAAAATTTGCATTCAATGGACTGGCACAGGTTTTTTGGGTTCCACAGGCTGGACCGATATGGGCTTACTATAAAATGAAAATATCAGAAATTACTAGTCTACCAAGACATATTGCACAAGAACAAAAATGAACTTAGCCATCGTCTCAGTAATAGCCTTTACAAATTTCCAAATTCAACATCCAAACTTTGTTTCCAACAGATCTATTTCTCCTTTCCTTAATTTGGCAATTACATATTAAGTCCACAACATGCAACATCCTAAACATAATCACCTCTTGTCTGGAGAGGTATAGGCAAAATTATAGTTTCACTTAACCAATAGGAGCAGCACACCTTTGAAAGATTGATATCAATCGAAGTGATCCCTGGTTTGTTTGTCTTGTGAAGGGGATGACTAGAAAGTTGGGTATACCTCTCCAAAGCATCAATGGGAGCCAATGTTGGAGGTATCTGAAAAGGAAACACAAGGAAAAGATGGGAGGGAGGGGGACCACAAAGAAAATATGAAGATGTTATCCAAAAAAAAAAAAGTTGGAACTACTTAAGACATACGGGATGAAGAGTACCTGGCGCTTTTTACGCTGTTGTGACAGAGCTGCATTACATTCTGTTAACTCAGCAATAACACTATCAGAAACCCCAGGGCGCATTCTCTTTGCACCAGGGCCCATATCTTCATTCTCTGCAGCTATGATTACAAAAATAAATCTCAAATAAAACACTGAATTAGTTAAAGATAAATAAACATTTATGAAAAGCATACTGAGAAAGAACCTCGCTTTCCATTGCTTAGAGAAGAAACACTTGCAGTAACTGCCGATGCAGGAAAAGGTGCCTGCCTCTCAGCCTCTGCAAGTAATGACCTGGCTTCATCCCTTTCCTTTTTAAGTCTTGCAATCACACGGCAGGCAGCATCATGCTGTATAAGAAAGATAACAAGTTGAACTAAATTATAATTAGATAAAAAATAAAGAATCAGAGGGAAAAAAAATACCAAAAGTCAACGGGTGAGTTAAAGCTCAATATCCTTTTATTATCAGATTTCATAACCACATGGATCTTTAAAAGAAATCTTTTAAATTGGTTTACTTCACTTCACAGTTGAAGGTAAACATTTTTAAAGCAAAGCATCCCCAATAAAAAAACTGTAACAAAGACTATACATAAAACTCGAGGCTAGAAAGCAAAGCCCATACACAACCATTCAGCTAAATTACTAAGCTTCTGTGGGAATGTTTAAGGGAATATAACCACCAGCAAGATTAAAAAATGTATTTGACAACAAGCGCTCACACCAGATTATCAAGAAGATTTTTTGCTCCAATCTAGACAAAAGGAAACTAAAGTATAAAATGTTACACTCTTTCTACAGTGATATAACTCAACATACAAAAACCAATAAGTAAAAAGGCTTATAAAAATGTCAAAATTATAATTAGACACCTATATCCAAATTGTTGTTACCTGGTAGAGTGCATGACTTAGCTCTTGCCTAGCTGTATGTAGCTGCTGCTCCAAAGCAAAATTGGATAGCATTAAAGCATCCCATTCCTGCAATGAGGGATGTAATGCAATATCAGAAGCAAAACACTAAGGAAAATTTGATGCAAACATAGTAAAATTTATTGGCAGGTAAAAATTTGCATTGGCAACAACCCATGGAAAAGATAAGAAGAATTATGCAGAGAGCATTCATTTCTGGCTAAAAATAAAGCAGCAAAGTCACACCCCTTCTGTAAAATCAACTGCAGAATTGTTACAAATTACACAGGACAAGTGAAAATCCCCCTCCCCACCAAGCACTCACATGGATAACAGAAAAG